AGAAAGGACTTGTGTCGCTAAAGTTTCGTCGGAACGAATTTACGGAAAATTAACGAACGAACGGAGACGTAACACTATTACTGTAGCTTTATGCTTTAACAACAAGCTAACAGAGAAACATTTGTTATGTTTATCTGACTGGTAAACAGATAATATCTATTTCAAAGAAGCAACGAATTTTTAATTTACGTAATGAAGTAATATCTGTGATTTGGAAATTAACACAATTAGAAAATTCATTACAATTCGAATAGATTAAATATTGCAGAATGTGTATATTTGACTGTGAAAATTAATCATGAATTTTTAGGTAAAGAAAGTAGTTGATTTGTATGATAAATAATAACAATTGACAGTGAATATGTAATTTATATATCTATATAGCATTTTATTTGAATTTTAAATTATCTTTAATAGCAGAATCAACGAAAGTTAAGATTATTGTATTTGAGCTAAATAAAGAATTTCTTTGCGAATATCAGACAGATGACACTACACTGTACGAAATAACGAGATGCGCCATATTATGGAATACTAATAGCACCAGAGGTTTTTATTACGTCAAACTAGTAGTTACAGTGTTCACTAACAGTAACGCAACCAACGTAAGGTTGTTGTTTTTTTTTTGTAAAAAAACAAAATTGTGAGTAGTGTTGGAGCATAGCTTAAGCGTAAGCTTAGAACTAAAGAAGAAAACCTTATGAAGCAATTTTTTTTATAGTTTAACCTTTAAAATTAAACTGTAAACTTGTAAGTTGTATACCTTAAATTTAAAATAACACTATTATATTAACAGTAACGACACGGACTTGTGATAATTAGGGAAACACTAACAGTGCATCTTGTAAGTTCAGTAATTGTAAGTTATTCGTAGCATAAGTATTAAACATATGGACATTGAAACTATTTGTGATTTAGCTCTTCAGAGCTCAGTTTCACACCCACCACCAAGAAATTTGGGAATTAAACCCCTCCATATATTTTTCGAAAAATCACTTATTGCTCACACCAATACTTATTAAATTTTTATTATGTAAGATACCAGCATCCATTACTGCAGATACTGAGATAGTAAACTCATTTGTTAAGCTCTTGACCCTGTTAGTTTTAGTTTTAGAAAAATAACTGTTTTAACGAAAGTTCACTCTGCCTTTTTTCATATCTTACACTTTTGCCCTCTTATCCTATTGTCTTCGATTTCAGCACAATAAAACTGGAGACCTTTAATCATTAATGTACTGATTAATAGAATAATTTTGTAAATTTTAGTATGATCATCTCTCATCCTTCTTTTCTCAAATGAACTAGCTAAGGGACTTTGACCTGGCCACATAAGAGAACCCTCCCATCTCTAAAGTCATCCTAGTAAAACTATAGATACATTCTATAAAGGAAAAATCTTCCTGAGATAAAAGACCAGATCTATACATAATACTCTAAGTGAGGCCTAACTAGCGACATATGATAATAATAATAATAAACATATAATATTTTTGAAATCTCGCCTTACTACTACCAACAGAATACTTGATGGCTTTAGTGACTTAATACCACTATGCTAAGATTTTTTCCTTCAGTCATGCTGTAGAGTGAATTCTCATCTGTATTAAATTTATGATCAAAATTATGATACATAAATGCATTACCTGGCACATATAGTATAATTACAGGTCATTTGAGAACTTGTCTAGTTTATACTGATTGATGAAAATTGATTCAAATCATTCTGTAGTATCTCAGCACTGTAAATACAGATAAAAATATTCAAGAATTTAATGTCGTCGGCAAAATTGACTAATTATGCCCTGTAAGTATTGTAAAGAAACGTGTGTGTGTGTATATATATATATATATATATATATAATCAAAGGCCCAAGCACTGTAACTGAGGCACACCACTACGGGCACTAGTAATAAAGATCCAGTTTGACTGGATTCCATTAATAACTTTGCTTTCTTTCACCTAACTACCCTTCTTTCCATTTAGTTGCACTTTCCTTAACCACCACCAATGTGAGTTTCTTAGCTAATTTTCAACGTACCATCTTATCAAAAGCCTTTGGAAATCTAATTGTACTAGTTCCATACCCTTTCCATTATCATATCGATAATATCCCTCAAACAAAGATAAAAGATTAGTTAGGCAATTTTTTTCATGTAATGAATCCACATTGACTATTTAATGGTGTTATTTAAATATTTTTAAAACTTCTTTTATCGGGCTCTAGAATTTTTCCTGCTATAGAACTTAAACTAACTATCCTATATGAAATTCCGAACAGTTATTATGTTCTTTAAAATAGAAGTAACATTACCAACTTTACAGTTCTCGGATACTTACCAGCTGTCTGTTGATCTAAAGAAAATGAGAGCAGCTTGCATATATGATTATTTGTTACCTTTAAAACCCTTATTAAAGCATTATGTGATCGTATTGCTATATCTTTGTTTTTATTAACCATCAGAGGATTAATATCCATATAATTCAGGTCAGTTCCATTATTTCCCATAGAATGCGTAAGGTTGGACTGATCAGGAATATTGCTAACATTCTCTCTTGTAAAAACTGAAAAAAAAGACATTCAGAAACTGAGCCATCTAATGGTCTTCACCAATAATATCTTTGCTATAATCATCCTTTAAGGACCCAGCCTCCATTTCAAGATTTGGTTTGTCTTTAATACACCAGATTGTTACTGTTATAGTGGAATGTGTTAATATTATCAGCCAGTTGTTTTTTATAAGCCCTTGATGACTTCCTAATTTTTTATTTTAACCAAATACCTAGATTTCCTTTTGTCTTTCATCATATTTTTAAACATCAAATTCTTATTCCTCTTGTATTTATCTGTGGTTTTGTCCTTTGTAAGCCAATCATGTTTAGTCTTGCCTTTTATTCTTTTGAGGAACATGCTTATCTTTAAATAAAAGGCAGTTTATTTGTAATTTCTAAGAACTGTCTCACATCATGTATTAACTCATTATCCCAATTATATAAAGATAAATCTTGTCTTGTGATCTCAGAATTTGCTTTCTGAAAACTAGGTACTAAATTAATTTTTTCCATCTCATCATGGAACAAATCAAACTGTATTAGGCAATGTTTCCTCTTCCTCAAATATTTCCCCACTTCAGCTCTTGTAATGACATTAATATTCGTGGTTAACATTGGATTTAAAATTGTTGATATTCTGATCATTATTACGTATAGAATACCATTATTGCATCAGTTTAGTTTTTAGTAATAATCCTGATCTAACTATACAATATCTCATTAACATTATCTGTTTGATCAGATTGCCTATAACAACTTCCATTTATAAAAAAGAAAGTAATTATCAGAAACTGATGTAACTAAACTAATGATGTAATGTCATACTATATACAGAATTGTTAAACAGCTAGTGTTAACTATATAACTTAATAATGTGAGGTAAAATCAATGCTGGTCAATGCATTAAAGCAGTTCACTATTACCCTAAAGGAATTAAAATGTAGCTTTGAATGTTGTGTAAAACCTCTAAACCCATAATCAATAGCAAACATAATGTTGAATTTCCAACAAAGGTGAATATATTTTGTGTTTAAAAGATTTAATGAGAAATCTTGTTTGTGAAAAATGAGAGTGAGTCTATGACTATTCCACTAGGTTTTGTAACATTAAACAAATTCTATTGTATCTAATGTGCTGTTAATAGTAAACAATGTAACATAACTTATTTACGTAGGGCTTGGTATCCCATTTTTCAACATCTAGCCATGCCATACTTATTTTAATTAGAGCAGTTGTTTTGTCAATAGTAAGAGAGTTTCTCAGATTTCTTAATATTTTGTTCATGTATGAGAACCCTCTTTCAACATGTGCATTTTAACTTGGTATAACAAGCGATATCATGATTATTTCAATAATTACAGGAAACTGAACTCTCAATGCCATAAAAGTTTACATCATGCTGCTAGAATTGTGGAACTGAGAATTATTTCTCGAGTAATTCATAATATTTTCATAAGATACATTTTAAGAGACTAAATTGATCAAGCACTAAACTGATGAGGTTATTTCCACTCTCAACTTCTAAACCTCTTTATTTGACAATGCATTAGGCCACATGTCCTTCTGATTATTATTCTGGAATAGTAGCAAAGTCCTTTGGCCATTCGGTTACATTTAACAGCAGAGGCCCTTGCTTTAGAACATTACGTTCAAAGAGACTCTTATATCATACTGTTTGTCAGTACAAGCTTTCACAGCATCAGTGTTTACTACACTTCTGCTATTCCCTGTAAGAATCTATTATTTGGACTTACTGCTTACACCTTTATAATTGATGTATTAATTGTAAGAATGGCATGTTTGAAGTAGTATCACTAATATTAATCTTAATTGCATCAAGTTTTTCATACAAAGAATCAGAGTACAAAGACGTGAGTAAGAAGTCCATTTCAGTAAAGTATGTTTTAAAAAAGTTTCTATTTATGCTTTTTCAAGTCTATAACAATGTATCTCCAATAACCACTTTGGATCTTGACTGACTCCACTCAAGGTTATTAGAAGCCATTTTCTCATGGCAGGTTCCAAGGTGGAAAAAACACTTTGTCATCTGGTGCTGAAGCCAGTTTTTTTTAACCTAAAAAAAGTGCCAGTTATTCAATTAGTACCTATTAAATTTTATGTTTGCCTATTATGGCAATAATTGTATATTTTATTGAGGGTACTTGTATGTTGAAAATATATATACTTTTTTTTGTACATAAGTGACATATGTAAAAGTTATTATACTGTATACTTTCAGAGCTCTGTATATATTTATGTAACCATTAATTATAATGATCAAACAGCAGGATCCAGGAATTTAATAAATAAGTTATTTTTATGGAAATATTGTACTTGTCACTTTGTCGTTTTCATAATGCTAACAGTTTTTTGCTTTCATTTCAGTCGACTTTTATTCTGAACTAAATTTACTTTATGAAGTTCAAAACCACATCATGTAGCAGTTCTGTAAGAAATTTCTCCAATGACATCTAGAAATTCCGAGTAGGCCTTGTCAGTAAAATAGCCATCTTCCAACTTGAATCCATGCATATTTTTGAATTTTACCAGATATAGAAATAAAATTAATTGGAGTTTGTTTTTGGCTATGACATAAACAACTTGTATATATCCCTCAACATTAGAATGAACTATGTAACCACTGTTGTTAGAATTTTTAAAAACAGTACGTCTTTCTTTTCAGTATTGGTACCTTTATGTATTTTTATTGCACTTTTAATATTTATTAAGATTTTTATTTCACCCTTACAATGGACAGGTACTCCAGCTACTATATACGTAAAACCAGTTAATTTTGGTTGGTCTAATTATATTACCAGCAAGCTATTATGCCTCGGCAAAGAGTTCTTCAATCATATGCATTTTAGCTTAAACATTGCCTAACTATATGTATTACCCTTAATTTTAAAATAGTAACTAGGCCCCATTTGTCCTAACTAAGCTATTCCATTGTAATGCAAACTGCATATAGAAATTCTTTGTTTATTCTTGAAGAAAACTTTTTTTCATGTTTAGGTGTGACTGCCAGTCACTGAAGAAGTCATGTCTGATCAAGATATTAGCAACAACCCTTTTGTAAGTTTATTCCCTTCCTTGAATGAAGCCAAACAGTTCAGAAATAGTACTAGTAATTTTTTACCAGCTGACATTGGACTTAATGACAGAAGCTCATCTCTCAGTGAAAAACAGCTTTCTAAAGAAGAAGTTTTGCATCATAAAAATGAACATAATGATCAAGTTGGACAACTACACGAGTACAGTGAAGCTAGTGAAGATTACAGTGTTAAGGAGATAGTTAAGAAAATTGAACTGAGTTACATCCTTGAAGAAATATTTCGGATTACTTTAGACAGAGGTCAGTTCTTATAAATATTCAAATAGAAGTCTTAGAATATATTATTTATACCCAACAAATATACATCCTCTGACCAAAAAATGCTATTGCATTGCTGTACTATATGTAATTTAGTAAAATTCAGTATGTAATGTAACTTAGTAAGTTTAGGAAAGAGTTAGAAAAATATTCTCTGTAGACCTTACTGAGAAAAATTGGCTTGAAATTATTCTTATGGATATCTTGGAATAAATCAGTATTATAATAATACAGCTTAAAACTCTTTGATGTGTTTGAATTCTATTAAAATCTATGTATGTGTTTGTATATGTACATGTACTTGTTCATTACAGAAAGTTGCATATTTTTTGCATATTTGAAAGAACTGCTAACTTACCCTTGTATAAGTAATAAAGAATATGCCTCTCTTCTGGTATATACTTTCTCCGTGTACATGTTCTGTGTGTAGTTAATGACATCTTTGTAAGCCAGAAAAGTGAGAAAGGTAATAAATTACTGCTAATTATCCCTTAGACAAAAGTTGAGTTTATGTTTGCTTGGCTCTGTTCCTGTATCATGTTCTTCTGGAGGTAGTATTCATATAGAAGGGTAGTACAAAGTATTGTATAAGATAGTATGATTGGAGTGGTGGATGTGTTTAACTTCCTTGAATATGTGTAATGAGTAGGATCATTAACTTGATAATTTAAGGATTGTGGGACACTGCACTAGGACTTTAGTCTTACCTAGTGTGGTATCGTATTATTATTCTCAGTTTTGTCTTCTGCAGATGCTTCTCCTTCCACCCTGCTCTCTATACCTCAACAGCCACAAGTTAAAGAATATAAGGGCCAGCCAGTTACATCCAAGCTTGTACTTATCTGTGAATAAAGAATCAGTGTTCACATGTGCATGCTTATTTTTGTTTTGCTCTTCATGTTGATTTTATTCTTTACATAACATTTCTGGTATATGTTGTATTGAAGATACTTGATACTTTTCTTTGGGGCTTCTGATGGTGTATTCTTTGGTTGGTTGCAATGCAGTTGAGTTCTTCCATACTTGAAAGACTGTAGCCACTTTGTTTCATCTGTTGTTACTTTTGTACAGTGTTTGTATTAAATATGTATGGTATTGTTAATGTAAGAAATACCTTTTGTGAAAACATTGTTTGACATGTTTTGCTAAAGCTAAACTAGCATATTTCCAAAAGCCTTCTCAATCAAACTTGGAGTAAGAAGGATATAATAAGTCATTAATAGTCTGATAATTATACCATGATGTATACTTACCTCGAAGTCTAAAAAACTTAAAATTCACTATCTAGTATTGTTGTTGATTCTGTGAGAGGATGTATATGTGTATGACATACCCTCTCATAATGTCAACAGATTATGTATATTAGATTATTGACAGGTAGGATATATGGTTGAAATAGACAGTGTAAAGCTTGTAATAATTGTAACAGGAGAAATAATGTATATCTGGGCATGAAATCTCAGTAAACTGAGAAATTATGAATATTCTTATTGTAGATTGTAATAAACAATAAAGTGTTTAATTTATATTTTTCACGTTACATGCCAACACTGTGAGCCACATTCTAGTTCAGAATTGGTAAAATCATCATATGGTGAATTTTGAAACAAAAACTCACCTCTACACACAGAAAAGCTTGATTTCTCATGCATCTACCTATACGATTTGCTTGGTACTAGCCTGAGGCCAACGTCCATTTGAACTGTGCTGGTGCATGATGACATCATCATGCGATGACAGCCTACCACTAGTAGGAGGGTGATACAACCTCCTTGTGCAGTAACTCTCCATAAGCCATTGGTTTCCAAACTTTTTTTTACTGATGACACCCTAACCGACTTATCTTGATTTGCATAGTACCCCTGCTGCCACATGCAATATTTATTTTGCAAAGTTTTTTTTTTTGTTGTTGTTGTTCTTAATTATTCTTCATTTGATAAAAACTCGTGACATCTCTAGCAACTTTTAGGGTAATGTTAGAACTGTCTGTATAGTGTGGGTCACCCCTCAAACAGCTAGTATGCCCTCCTTCTGCAGCAGAACAGATTTATCATCCTCATCTTGATCTATCGAGGTGAGAAGCACACACAAAACAGTGTGATCACGCCTTTAGTAAATTTTACTTCTAGGCTTGCCGACCACTTGTGTGCTGGTGCTTGGTTGGTCATGCAAAAGTTCCACCTATCCCTTTTACACTTGGGGCTCTTTTGCCTTTCTCTCTCCTCCTTCTGGTCAAAAAGTATACCCTGTTCATGATAAGATGGAGTCTTCCATGGGTGTACCCCTGTGGATCCTCTTCCAATGGGTGTCACACTCCATGGACTTACCTTTTAAGTATTTTCTGAATGGAGCTCATCTAGGTTTAATGTTCCACTGGCCTCTCCACCATTACAGTGTGGGATTCTAGCTATTCTATGTGAGAAGGTGAGGTATCATCTTGGATATTGACGTTTTCCTTACCTGTATTTCTGATAGATACTTACCTATTCATACTTTCACACCTATCCTCACTGCTTCTGGTACACTTTCTTCTTGCCTTGTCTAAGAATGAAGTTATTTTGAGTGTAAGTGCTTAGGGGGAGTTATTGTACAAGGAGGTTATGTTGCCTTCCTGATTGTTGGGCTATCATCGCATGATGTCATCTTGTATTAGCACAGTTCACATTAAACGTGACTTTTAGGTGAGTATTAGCTTAAGGATAGTGGCATGCAAGTCTCATAGGCAATGCACGAGGGATCAAGTTATTTTAGTAGAAAAATAATTTTACTGAAGAGCAGGTCCAGGTATACATATCCGAAACACGATTATCTCTGATATGTGAATTCAAGTTTGCAATATCAAGTTTTCCATTTCATTACAAGCAGACTAACCAAGCTCTAAGAATTTCAAAAACCCAAATCAAGTCACCTTCATCTCTTCTACATTGTAGCAAAAAATAAATTCACATCTTTAAGCCTCTTTTTGTAACTCGGGGGGTTTTAAACTGTAATATTTATTGTCTCAACTCTTTCCAGCAAGTTATTTTTCTACTAAAAGTTGTAAATTTAAAAAAATATGCTTGACATGTTGGTGTGTAGTATAAATGAATCAGAATAACAACTTTGTAATGGACAGGACTTCCCTGTCACTATACTAAGTAAGGCTTAACAGTTATTGAAGTAACCAGAATTATGAATGCAATAAGATTGAGGGCTTATAATACTAAAGATTGGGGTTGGATACTCACACTGGGCACAGTGCACATAACCCGTTGTGTAGTTTTCTACTTAAACACACACATTTTTACCTGTTCAGATTTGAATAAAATAGAAAAATTCAAAGTCTTTTACCTCTTACTTATTTTAATTTAGTTGTATATATGTACAATTAATTTACAGTTATATACACATTTATTTGTGATTAGGTTGTAAAAAACACAAGCTGTTAAGTAGACTTCAGAAAGATTTACAATACAAGTTCTGTTGTTGCAAGAACATTAAAGGGAATCAGTTTTAAAAGATTCTCTTTTTTTATATATATGTATCATGTTTTGAAATGTCTTTTATTCATACAGTGATCATATGGTTATGTATGAATTTCAAGAATTTTCAACACTGATATTACTAACTTGTGAATTATTCAGCTAACAAGCCATTTAAAAATACTAATGTAAATGGTAAATTATATGATAGCTTGGACTTCACATTTATTTTTTGTATTCATTTTGTTTTTGATGGATTAGAGAATTCCTGGTGATTTTTTTCATATCAAATATTTAAAGAAGTCATTAAAAAATTTATTTTTCATGTTAGTATTGGTACTGGACACATCTATAATAACAAAAGAGCCTGTGTGTGTGTGTGTGTGTATATGAGAGACTCCAAGAGCAAAGAACCTAGAGACCTGAAACTTTGTACACATACTAAGGGAATTCTGAGGGTGTGCACCTGGATATTATTTTGTAGATTTGACTCAAAGAATTTTTGTCTAATTTTTTTACCCTATAGTTTTTGCCCTTAAGCCCCATAATTATGCTTCCTAAAGGTCTGTAGAAAAGTATCATATTTTTTTTAATTCTCACTTATTGAATAAACAATATGTAGAGGTTTATTTCAACACAAACATGGGAAGAAAAATACAAATCTGAGAATTTAAAAAAAAGTTGAATTGAACTAAGTTTGGGAAATGGCAACAAACAATGGGAAAAAATAATGAATCAGAGAACATTGGAGAATTTGGAGAATGAAAAGAAGTCAAAGGAAAAACCCAGAAAAAAAATAAAATGAATCTGAGAAGCTAAATTAAAACTATTTGCTTTTAAAAAGAATTGAATTAAGTTTGGGAAATAGCAACAGACAAGTCAATTAAAGATTTGGTGCATTGGGGTAACTATAGAAATAATTAAAGTAATGGAGACTGGCACATTGAGGCCTCAGCGAATCATGAGGGGACATTAGAATCCTGCCGCAGAGTGTGGGTATTTTATACTAGTTTTTAATAATTCTCAGGTTATGAACTTCAGAAAAGCAATTTTATGAAATTACAAGATTTGCTGAGAAGGGAGAGCTCGGATAATATCACGTGTGTGTACAGTGTATGAGAATAAAAAATGTAATTGATGCTAGAATAAGTTGACCCAAAGTGGATGGACAAAATGAAGCAAATGTATTGGTGCATGCATATTTGGAATAACTGGTAGTAATGTCTTGAGATATGAATATAAATGTTAAAATAACAGGCAAAGAGGTACAAATATACTATATTTTTTAAGTTTCTCATTGTAGAAATGCATAAAAATAAATTCTGGAGTTGTTACAACCTATTTTTATGAATAATCTAAAACAGTTTGAAAACTAAGAATTTTAATAAGCAGCATTCAATATGCTTTCAGGAAAATATTTTCTTATTTCCTCAACTTGATAGTTCGTTCCTAAGGTTTCTGATAGCTTGGTTTATAATGCCCTTATTATTATTGTTTATATAATTTGATAAGGCTTAAAGGCACTTTAACAAAAGTTAGTTACTAGATTAAATTCATGTGGAGTGAATGAAAGAAGAACTTAAATTGAATTATTCATAGAGAGCAGAATATGGTAATATTTAGCAGTCTTTGATAGTGTGTACAGTATGTGAATACTCGAGTCTCTGACCTTTAATGACATAAGAATCATCATGGATTGTACACTATCTAAATTTGTGATAGGAGAAAGTTATTTTCTTTTTTATTTAAATAGATTTTTAAAAGTGTACAGAATGGTCAGAAAGGTTACATCTTATTTTGGAAAATTATAACATAAATACAATTAAATTCACAAATTGGTTGGAATAATCAAGATTGTTATGCATGAATTTTGAACTGAATATAATAATGTTAATTAGTTTTTTTCCTTCACAACATTAAATGAATGATATTTATCGGAATCTATAAAAATGTATTTGTTAAAAATACCTGTTTTTCTTTTCTTTCAATAGGATTATCTACAGATCCAAAACGACCTACACATTGTGTTTATCTTGAAGAACTTCATAATGTTGTCGCTGATCAGAACTGGCTAGATCTTGACAATATGCCACAGGTAAAAACAAATGCTTGTTTAGTATGTCTTAACAAAGCAGTTTTATTAATTCACATGTACACACTTCAGTTGTTCTCGAATTGCTAGAACTCTGATATATACGTTTTGCTTGTTGTTTAGTTACATGGACTAACAAATATGCACAGTTTAACATATTCTAACGTTTGAGAGAGAATGCGATTTTGCACGTACCTATGGTGATATAACTTCATGTGATTTCTGCATATTTTTATTTCTAACATTTGTGACTGTTATACAGGATGTATATTGGGTGGTAGTTGTCATATGTGGTTACATCATTTGTTGAGTAATGTTTTAGTAAAATAGCATACTAGCCTAATGTATAAAGTGTAACTTTAGTATATGTACTTCACATATAGCACTTCTATAGCACTCTCCCCCGGAGGGGGGGGGGGTGTTGTAATTGGGTCCGTGTGTGTGTCTGTCTGTGTTTCTGCATACACAACTTGAAAACTAATAGACCAATGTACTAAAAAATGGAAAGTCAGTATGGGACAGTCTTCCCCAAATTTGGTCTGGATCACTTTGAAGCATTTTTTATAATGGTAAGATAGAGCGTTTTCATGGTTTGGGGTTAACCATTTTGAGACGGGTCATGGTGAAAGGCCATGTCATCTTGTTTGTTGACTCTCTTTCACAAATGTATTGAACTACTATTTCATGAAATTATGTCAATAAGTTTGTTATCAAACTGTAGATTTTAATTCAAATTTTAGTAGTATACATTACTCAATTTCTTAATTTAGAAGTAAATATTAAAAAACACAAATAACCTTTGATTTTTGTGTGTCACGTTGTATGTTGAATGCAGCACTGGTTCAGATTAGATGTTTTTGAAGTCAGAATACTAAGTTTATAGTTTCATATGAAATGTATAATGTTATGAGATTTAAGCTATTTAGTATAAACATTTATGTTTTTGTGTTATGATTTGTAATTATTTGAGAACAAAAAAGGCATAATTTATATTTATTTCCTCATTGTTTTATGGTGGTTACAGTCAGATCGACTGAGCCCATACAGATATAATTGTGAGTGAAAATACAGTAAAATATAAAGTTTTTTCTTAAGAAACATTTGATAACTATGTGGACGTTATAAGAATTTCGCATGTGAAATTCGAAAATTTTCTGATGCATAAAAGTATTTTTAACCTTAAAATGAAAATTACTTTGTGATAGGCAACATGCGAAAAGAGAAAAAGGAATGAGGAAAAACATTGCTTTAGAAAAAATAAAAATTAAATATCTTATTTTTCAAAACTACATATGTATAGGACCTTTCATCTCAAATTTAAAAGAATTTCATTTTTGTAAAAACTTTCATGAGAGCTGCATACCTACTAACAATCACGTAGAAATGCACATTAAGTTATCTATGAAGCTCTCCTCCAAGACATTTAAGTAGTGATGCTAAGTCATAGAAAATGTATGATCTACATTTGATTTGAGCAGACAGTTTATGTTGTCAGATCATAATAATCATTTTAAGCATTGTGCTTACGTGTTACTTGTCTATCAAACTAAAGTATATATATATAATGCATTCCTATTGCATCAGTCTTTTATTAATCTTATTTTGTAAAAAAAGTACTATATTTGTTCTTTGCAAAGAAATTAATTTTTAGCATAAATTGAAAAAAAAAGGTTTCCTTGTTGAACAACTGGTTTCCAGCGTAGTGGCTGTCAGTGCTGCATTATAGGAAAGGTTTCAAGATCATAATGAATGGTTCAGCATGAAAAGTAATTTTGGTAGTAAACTGATTCATGCTCTTCAAATTTGTCAACAGAATGCTTCTTATCAATAAGGATTTACAATCAAGTTATCTTACTTGCATATATTCTGGAAACTAAGCTAACTAATTTACTGTATTTACCAAATACAGCCTTAGATAAATTAAACTAGGGTTAAATTTGGAATTCAATTTTCAGGCAGTCTTTGAAAGGCTGATGTTAAACGATCCAGCTAAAAGTATTGTAAGTACCCGAGGAGGAGTTTCTGACAGGATTGCTGAAGAAGAGGCAGGTATCAAGGATGTTCTGTTGTATCTCTATTTGTGCTACCATAGGCTGTTCATATCAAAAAAGAAACTTGAGGTTAGTGACATGTAAACATTTATCATTGATCATAATATATTTTATTTAAAAGTGTATATATTCAGTTGTTTTTATGGGGGGGATATTTTAGTTTTACTGTAAATGTTTTGAGAGTGGATTGTAAGATTGTACAGCACATTTATTACCAATATGGCTTGTAAAGACATGCATACTTCTGATGGTTGTTGCTCTGTATTAGTAAAATCAACCTGTATATGTATAATTGTAATTTGAATTCTGATTTAAAGTGTAGAAAATGTTATACTAAAAACACCAACACTTATAAATTGTAGAATAAACAAATCAAATATTTTTACAGAATTAAACGAAATATATATATGCATATGAATTTGATTCTGTTAGTTTTTTTCAAGAGATTATTTCAAATTATTTCTGAATATTTTATTAACTGTTTCCTTTAGTTGTAAATTTAACTATTATTTTTTAAAGACTTAAATATAGCTAATAATAAACTGGAAATGTGGTATATGGAACTTTTATCTAGGTAAAGGAAGCTGTGTAATTTTGAACTAATTAACCAGTATCTACCTGCACTTAATCAATATAATATTCCTAGATATATACTAAGACTAATGAGTAGAAATGTGTGTTACAGGATAATATTTACAAGCAACTGAATCAAGTTATACTATCACAAAGTGCCACCAGTCTTTGTCATTCTGAAATCTATCCACATGCTAAGTGTTCCAAAGAGCTTATTGAATTGATCCAAGACTATAGTGCAAAACCAGGTATCTTTTCTTTCCCTTCATGTTACATTTTAATCTGTCAAATTAATGTTGAATAACTCCATTCCTAGCAAAAAATGCATATAGGATGAAGCATAATTATACATACAAGTTCTTTAACAATGATTAATTCTGTGAAATCTGGCATATTCTGATCATGTTACTATTGTCATTGTGTTTGAAAGAGCGGTCAATCCAGTTACTGACCTAGTATTGACAATTAATGAACTACTTGGGCATTTCCAATGATCCAATTACAAACATTAATGTATACATTATATTTTGTAATAATGATTGATTTGTTGATAATTTTGAGCTAAAGATTTTTCTGAAATTATCATTAGTAAAGATTTGAGTAATAACATAAACCTTGTGTGTTTGGTTGAGCATGCACTTAATAGCTAATGTTACTTAATTTTTCTATTGAAATAATTCAACTACATGCTATTTTCTATTCATATCTTGAACATTTATATAAACTTTCTTATTTAGTAAAAGTATCATGAAAGGTTTCAGGTTGTAAATATTAACTAAAACTGAGACTTCTTGGATTTTCTTTCCAAAAAATGTCCTTAATCGTTTACAAGCAGTTGGTTTCTTAAAGATATTATCTTGTTATAATCATAAAGATATATCAGATAGCAAGAAAACTATAGAAAGAAGTGTCAAATAAAGGCTTTATAAATGTGAAATTGTTTTTATCCTAAGTAATTAACATCTTCACTTAAGATGGTTGCAACATTCACTTAGCTGGAAAAAATATGTATATGTGTGTTTTAAATTATCTATAGGTGATAGATAACTACAGGGAGTTTGGTTAAACAAATTAAAAAAAGAGAGAAAATCAATTGTCCAAATACCAATAGATATTGGATAGTTTGTCAATCACTGATCAATAAACTTTTGTACTTTTAAGGAAGTGGTCAGAGTAAACAAGACTTAAAATATATGGTCATCGGCCCTCCTTCCCCCTCAAAAAAATTGTTGTTTTTATGAACTAATTTTTTTAATAAATATTTAATGAAAACCAATATACATGACAGAAGAGAGAAAAAATTATGATACTCTTTTAAGTACATATAAATTGATGAGATAAAAAGTAGAAATTTGGATAATTACTACAAATTTTGAGTTTCCTTAACCAGAGTTGACTATAGGAGTTAATTATCTAAACATAGACATTTATTTTGTAGAAGGCAGAGTTCAGTTGACCATTTTTTTATAAAAGAAGGAAATTTAATTTTCCCATCCGTGGCTTACCTTCTCCCCATAGTTTTATTCCTAATGTATTGTTAAAAGGGATTATTATATCACAACTGAAAATATTTTGAACAGTATGCAATAGTAATAACTCTTGTGTGTTAATTCTTTATATAGGACATATGGAAACACTGAATCAGTATATAACTAGTTTAGCAAGTTATGTAAGTGAGCAAAATAAATCTGGTGAAGAAGATATGACACTTCTGGATGCCTTTTCTGGTTCGTTTGAAACCCTTAGAAGATGTTTTTTAAACATGTCTCTAGTGGATAGAAATCTCTTTATCTGCATTGATACACTCCGGTATTTTGCTTGTTCCACAGACCTAGCAGAGGTAAGATAATATTTCCTCATACTTGCTGCATTGATATATATATGTACAAATAACAAACATATTTGATCTTTTCTTAATGAATTTTTTAAAGTGATATTAAGCATTCATATTAAATATGTTGTATGGTCTTTGCATTAAATATGGCATATTAAGAGTCTGAAAACTGCACAAAGGTTCTAGAAATGTAGTCAGTTTAATTTTCATTTATTGCATATACAAATAAAGATTTAATTTTGTTAGTTTATTGTTGACTGCAATCCAAGTATAACGTTTAAATAAAAAGTTAGGCCTATACTTGAGAACTAAACACTGTTTAAGAGACAAATATGTATATTCTGTGAAAGAATTTCGTTTGTTTTTTTAATGAGTTTGTTATTTGGAGATATGAAAGAACTATTTACCTACCTCTGGGAAAATTGTACATGGCATTATAAATAGTAAGTTGAATTGTAGTACAATGAATTGGGTGATTTAAACTTTCTATCTTATTCAACACTAGAACTGATTTTACAAATCTTGACTTAAGATGCTAACATTTTACAGTTCAGGAAGAAGTATCATTATTAATTTTATTGATAGCCAACAATCTTATAATTGTGATTAAAAACTCTAAAGAAAATTAGAAAAAAGTGCCATTTTTCATAAAATATGAAACAAACCTACTTCGAGTAAGCCATAATGAAGACAGTCTGTATGAGCATCATTTAAAACGTAATTCAATAGTAATATAACAGGAATACAAATGTTCTGTTGGTTTCAAGGCTACAATATGTTAAAGCCAAATGCAGCTAGAAAAGTTGGAAGCTCAAAAGTAAAACATGGGTATTATAATAATCAAGTAAAAACTACAAAGTTAGGTCAGATGTTTGTTAGAATGTTTTTAACATTTCATCTCATCAACTGAATGCCTATTGGGCTCTGAAGTGATAGATTTTACTGAAACAGGTTTAGGTATTTTGCTAAGTAAATCCTAACATTAATTGCATGGGTAAATGTACATATCACCAGTGATGTTGACTGCTTATTCTTGATTAGGACATCATTTGTTAGTTTGTTATAACTAGTAACCTCAGGTTTTAATAAAGGAAGCCAAATACATAACTAGGCTTGACTCGTTTGTAATCTTTTGAAAATGTGTAGGTTTGAAAAGTCAATTAAATATAAAAAATATGAAACCTTATAATCCAAGCACTTTCTAAAGGTGGATCTTTCTTTGTCTGAGGCAAGCTGGGAATGTTTGTCCTTGATGAAGAAAGATCCACCTTAAGAAAGTGGTCAGTTTATAGGGTTTTGTATTTTTGTTTGTGGTTGACTAGGTTTATTTAAGTTAAATACTTGAATTGTTTTGGCATACAATATAGTGCTTGAAGTGTTCTTTTTATCTGGATTTAGTGAAATAGAACCTTCAGCAGTAGTTTTTTTTATTAGAAATATAATAATTGATTTGTTGTTATTTAGATTTTGGTTTGTGAGACTCAGTTTCATAATAGTGGAATAGTATCTTAAACCAAGAAATTACTTTTATATTAAAGTTAGCTCACTATGTGTGTACACAGTATGCATTTACTCAGTAATAAAAGTACTCCTGATTTAAAAAACAAACAAAAATTATTTGGTAATTTTGAAGTAATAGATCAGTAATTGTTTTTCAAGATATTCAAGCATAATGTCCTTTATATGTATATATAAACAAATACGAATCACACACAAACATGTAGATCTACTGGCAAGTAAAAAGTACTTTTCATTCTTGTTTCTTGGTGTGTATGTAGTTATAATTTATACCTCCAAAGTACTTGACCACGAAACTGATATGATAGGACTTTAATTTTGTTTACAGCTCTGCCCTTTATTTTTATATTTAAAGACGACTTTTATTACCAAAAATAATTGTGTTCTACTGTGTTTTCCAAAAGCTGTAATTGACAGAATATATCATAAAGTACTTTGCTTAAGAGGGATTACAAATAAGATTAGACTAATTAAGACTGAATTTAATTTTTTCTCAGGCTCTGCTTGATTTCAGCCTTCCACGAAACAACACTAGTGCTCAAGCCTATCAGTTTTCATTGCTTGGTGCTCCTCTTGCAATATCATGCCTTCCTCGTATGGAATCAGAACAGTATGAATTCTTTGAGCATCCATCTCGTACCACTCAGCAAGAACATAAAATCACAGAACAGAACATATGGATGGTGAGTGATAGCTCAAATATTTACATGATTATTTTCTTAATGTATAGTTGTTTCTTTTTAGTAATATAGAATTATTTCAAATAGATTTCCAGGATATTGTTTTACTTGTGAATAAAAGGATTGTAATAATAACATAGCAAGTGTATAGATAAAATAAACATTAATTTGTTTTACGGGAACTACATGTAGGTAGAAAATGTCACTTTCTAACACTTTTTAACAATTCTAGAATTTTTATCACATTCACTAAGGCTCAGTATCAAATCCTGTCACTTTGTATATCCAGTTTAAAATCAACAGATTTATTAATATTTGCTTTTTTCAATGTATTAGATTCTTCCATTTCAATAAATCTTGCCACTTCTAACTTGTGTTAGAAATTCTCAAAATTCTCAAAATTATTTATCAGTTCTGCCAGGTCCTGTATATCAAACTTTTGTCTTCATATATATGATACTGTCTTGGCTTACATTTCTTGAAGTTTATCTTCATATAGCTTTGTAAAATTAAAACTAATTTCTCTCTGTATATAAATTTTGTAATTAATTTTTAAGCTATCCCAGTTTGTAAGGTTTCATTTTTGGGATAAAAATCCTGTTTTTCTTGGATTTTCTGCTGTTAAATATATTCAGCAGACTCTTGCAACTTTGTATTTGGACCAGCTATTTCAAACAGATTAAACATGCTATACGTAATAATATGAAACAAAGCTTTTTTTTTAATAGTATCTTGCAGATTTAAGATATGCAGTACATGTACACAGGAGATAAGAAAAAATCTCAAAATTAATTTATTTTAGTTCAAAAAAATTTTCTGTCTTGTTTGTTTGTTTGAGAAATGAAAATCACAAGGGAAAAATCACTCGTAAGATATCTGGGAGTTTAAACTGGCCAGAAATATTTTCTTTCTGGAACTCTGTTCTAGCATTGGAGAAGAATTCCAGGTATAGAAGGTTTACTATTTTACTGATGCTTGTTTTTATTTATTGGACTCTGACTAATGTAATTTCTTGCATTTGAGAGTTCATAATAATGTAAGACTATAATAAGTTTATTCCAGTTTATTATTACTCCTGCTTCTGGGTGAACTGACAACATTACTAATTTGAATTTTCTATCAAGTCCATTTTGAATTAAAAGTGATAGACCAAATCTAATTTCAATAGGACTTTTGAAAGCTGGTTCTGGTCCTAACCTGTTTATTAATTTAAAGAAACATAGAAAATGAAACACCTGCTGTTTTGGAGTGATTGAGTTTGATCTATCCCTTGGTACATTATATTAAGTCTTTACATTGGGCTGTTCCTACTCAGAAAACCATATGATCTAGCTAAATGCAACATCTGTGCTCAACTTAATCCTGTATTTTGATATTTTGTTGTTGTTGTTTTTTTAAAGCAAATAACTCTTGGTTCAATTTTTTGCCTTTTTCTACAGTGCTACTGATCTGACTAAATATGCAATAGTGAGTTCATGTTATTGATATAAGTTTTGATAAAAAAAATAGCCAAACTTGTTTAATAAAAAATAATTCACTTCAATTACTTCCTCTTGTTGTTGTTTTTTTGTGGGTGGGGAGCAAGTGCAGCCCTGTGGTTAGTGTGCCAGACTGTGGAATTGAGGTTCCATGTTATTAAATTCTTCATATTTCAAAACTGTAAAGAAAATATATAAAAAAAATACAGGATGAATACAGTTCAATCCTGAAGTTAGAATAGTTTTGTTGCTCAGTAATGATAGTGTTATCAGCTATTACAGTCATGAGATATTTTTTATAACTATTTAAATAACATAGGATTGGTACTTGCCAGTAAATAATAATAAGTTATTAATAATTCTGGCCAATAGCTTTAATAATATATATTGTTTATACTTACTGGTCACTTTGATTCCAAAGGTATAATGTTTCTCATCTGCTTTTAGCCCTTGAGATCTGTGACCACTCAAATGCACCAAATCTTTTATCTGTTATTAAGAAGCTCACCAGAAGTTAGGCATAAAACTATGAAATGGATTGGAGACTGCCTACATGCCAACAGTGGTAAAAACATTTGGCTTATATTTTAGATATATTAACATTTTAACACAGAAAGTTTAGGTACTGTTTTTTTTTATAAAACACCACAGGATCATTGAAACAGCAGACATTTCTACTAATAACCATTCATCAGTTTGGTATTATTGTTAAAGCATAAAGAATTTTTGCTAAAAACCCCTAACTAGTTCAGTGGTATTGAAACAGCAGGCATTTCTACTCAGAATCACTAATCAGGTATGTGATAATGCTCACACAGTGGACACTGAAAAGTAAGGGCCATTATTTTTCATATGCAATCAATATTGTCCAACTTTGATTTTTGGAGACAAAATTAGTTTATCTATGTGGACATGTTCACCTTTTCAGTTTTTAGGTGATATATCAGATTTAAAGTTTTGTTTTAATACTCAAGTTCAGTTGCAGTGACTTTCAAATAACACTTCTGTACTGTATCTTAAATAATCAAATTTGGACATCTTTTATGAATGATGATGCAGGAATTTTTTTTTTTTCCAAATGGGACAATTTGCTGAAACTCTTAGGCATAATTGATGCTAGAAGTTAGTGCTCATTAAATATCTGTTGAACCCTAATTTAAAAATTTTATTGTGTAAACTTACAAAATTTGTAATGGTTGTACTTTTAATTTTATCACTTTCATAAGCTTATAGAAGGTCTATACAAAATATTTTGAAACTTGCTTTTACATGGCTTACAACCAAGAAAAAGTACTTTATCAAGTTTAGAGGAAATTTGTATGACAGCATAATCTAAAATTTGCTTTTTTTGGGGTGTGGCCAAGTGGTTAGCATGCCAGGTTGTGGATTGAAAGGTCCAAGGTTTGAGACTGATACTGTTGAACTCTTCCTGCTTTTTCAGCTATGGTTGTGTTGTAAAAGCAGTCAAATCAATTATTTAGTTTAATGAATCAGACAAAATCCTTGCAACGGTGGGTGCTTGTGACTGGCTGCCTCTCTATCTGGTCAGTATTTCTATATTGGGAGAGCTGTAACCGAATCTAAAGGGTCTTTGAGCTGACTGTTTAGTCTAAATCCATATAAAATACTGTTTGGGTTAAAAATTCCAGTTCCTAAAACTTACCAAGGTGGGTTGTCAGTTATAATTCACATAAAAAATGTTGATGTAAAAAAAATAGTAGAACAAAGTAAAAAAAATATTTTAGTTTTAGAAAAACTGATTTAAAAAATTAACACACAAAACTTGATAAAATTAACAAAGAAAACCTACATTTCAGAATAACCTTAAGATAAAAGACCATGTTTTGGATCTAATATAGTTTTGTAGTTGCTTTATTGAAATATTAAGAAATAAGAGTTATTATTATTTTCTTATAATTGCCAATTGATTGTTATCTTTATACAGAGCGGAGTAAGCTATGGAATTTTCACTTTGAGGAAGTATTTGGCTCTGTGCAGGCCTCTGATGGTTTCATGCTTAACTTTGGAAGTGTTTTACTTCGATTGTGTAAACCTTTTTCTTTACCTGATTCTCCAAAGATACTTAAAGTTAATCCCACTTACTGTGCTGCTGAAGCTAGTGGAGATGGAGAAGCAAAAAATAAAAACTTGCACTTGAGAGGTAAATTTTGTGGTCTTCGAGTTTCTTACAGATCCCATTTTTTTTTCTAATTCACTGCCTTATAACTGTGTATAAAGAAATGAATTGTGTTTTATGTGAATAAAAATGTTTTAGTTGATCTCATGGTTAATAAGAAAGTCATCTTTTTTTTTTTTTTTTTACACCTAGCCTATATTATGTTCATTGTATCAAAATATTTGTAAATGCAATAAAACTGACAGATATCATGATAGCAGACTAGTTCAAAACTAGAAAGTATAATAGAAAAAAAAACGTTTTTATAGTGATGGTATCCAACTGATGAATTCATTTGAGATAGTCATTACAAGTTTTATATTATGTTACTTATAATGTACTTGTTATCCTCGTGTTATTTTAAATAATTTAAACCGAACTGGCTAGTATGTAAAATTAAAAGACAACACTCAAATAAATATTTGTGTGTGTGGTGTGTGGTTGCTTTAAACCTAAGTTATTTGCTTGCATTATTTTATTAGAAGCCTAATCATTTAATTAGTTGAACTTGAATGTGCAGTAAACTACATTGCTTGTAATCATTGTGTACATACACAAGTTTAACATGCATTTATGGTGTTTATTTGTACTTACCCACTGTCAAAAGGAAACATACATCAGTGAGTTCCACTTGCACATATTTGTCATACCTAAAAGATTTTTTACAAGTAAGATTTGTTTGTGACAGTAGGAGGAACTGTGATGTTTATTTCAGTATATATTACAATTAACATTGTGTTATTTAATACCAGCAGCAGAACTAGAACTTGTTAGTGTTTTGAGTATATAGCTACAGAGTAAGCATAGTTTCAATTTCTCCTTTTAGAACTGCTTGTAATTAATTACGTTTATGTAGATTGATATTATTACAATTTTATTGCAAACGTTAAAGGGAACTTTTTTCTTGTATGTCGTAGACCTGAGTAAGGAAACGTTTCTGGTTCCAACTTCTGAAGATCAAGCCGTTCTTGTGAAGTGTGATAGTTTCAATTTCTCCTTTTAGAACTGCTTGTAATTAATTAAATTTATGTAGATTGATATTATTACAATTTTATTGCAAACGTTAAAGGGAACTTTTTTCTTGTATGTCGTAGACCTAAGTAAGGAAACGTTTCTGGTTCCATCTTCTGAAAATCAAGCCGTTCTTGTGAAGTGTGATAGTTTCAATTTCTCCACTGAAGTTTTTTATGCCACACATTGTGCTATAGACCTGGGTTTTAAAGTTGTTCATGAAAGACTGGTAAAGTTAAATCAGCATCTTGCTCAAATACAGGGATTTTATGAAGATGCTCGTCTTCAGGGAGGTAATTCGTCTGATGCTGTGCAGAGGTTACAAGAAAAAATGGAGAGAGGTTTGTGAGATGAAAAATGCATGGAAATAAAGCTTCAATAAATGTTTAACAGAATGTGATTATGTATGTTCTAACAGCACCATTATTCTGATACAAAGTTAGCAGTCTTTTATCAACAATGGAATGGAGATGCATCTATTTTTAGTAAATTAAGTTTGTATTTTTCAGTTAATTGTTATAAAAATGGTAAATAATGTTTCACTGTTCTAAAACATTATTTGATATTTATGAAAACATGCATGTATTTAATTTTAGTCCATGGGCAAGTGTTCTTTGCATGGTGGTTGGATTTATGTATACACACACTCACATTTCTAGTTTATAGAATGATGTGTATTTATTATTGAAAAGAAGCTGTAGAAGCTGAGTAATTATTCATTTAGGATAATGCAGTCAATCCAATTGTGATTGTGTGAAAACAATGCTCTAACTTAAAGACAATTCTGCCATTTGGTTCACCCCTTGTCAATAATCCTAGACGAGGGCAAATCAAAAGAAAAAGACTGGGCTTCTTATAGAGGTTGAGTGCATTTGTATGTTTAGAGAAGTCTAGTTTTGTTCTTTTGATTTGCCCTTGTTCAGGTTTATTGATTAGGGGGTGGGATTCCCTGAAATGGTATAACTCAAGGGCAGGTGGTGAGTTGAGAGAGAAATTGGGCTTCATGTTTATTTTTCAATATCTTAATCAGCTTGTCTTTTGAATAATTTGTATGATAAATCAGTAAGGTTAATACTATATATATTTCAAATCCTGTATAAATATGGGTTCACTGTGGTGAGTAAAAGACAAAACATTGTACATGTAATGTTTTAACTTGTGGCAAAGATTTTCCCCAAATCAAGAAAGATTTGTTTTGGGAAGATTTTATTATATAGAGTAAACATGGCTACAAGAGAAAGCTGAAGATTTCAAAATAATATAACTTAAAGAACAGTAAAAGGATACAAAGTTGTGTTTAAAGTATGTTAGGTGTGATCAAAAAGGATATGGGCATTGATTTAATTTTTTGGGGCTTTGGTGAGTTTTGGTTAGTTTATACTGATATAAATCAAGAAATATTTTAACTTTCAGATTTTTCATTTTGTAACTTGGTTTATAATGGATTTTTTTTTCATGGCTATTGGTGGTTGTCCCATTCTGTTTTAGAAGACATTAGTTTTCACCAGATTTTCTTGACGTTCTTCACAATTGATTCTCATCTGTTGGTTTGAATTTGTTTCATCAATTTTACAAATCTGTGGTTTATAATTTGAGTTTGTACACACAGTTTTTTTGGTTTTTTTATGGGGTTTATGACTGACATTATGTTGATAACATTCTTTCTGAGGATGAACTGAATTTCTAAAAATAAAAGTACAAAGATGAAATTTGAAAAAGGTACTTTTGAGTTTCTGGCTGATAAAAGAAGTTAAATAGGATGGTAGTGGACTACATTGTATATGTTTTTATAACTTGTAGATATTAACTGACAAACTTTGTAGACATTTATTGTTTTTGAAAGTTGAGGATACATACATCATCACACTACAAAAATACATGTAGTTTGCAAACTTATTTGAAAAGTATGAATGGTACTATAATTAACTTACTAGGGCTGGCAGGACTTGAAGAGGAAAAGCAGATAACAATCTCTGTGATTGGTGGTCTATAGAAGTCTACTTTTATGTTTATCATAACATCCAAGGTTGTGACCTTTTATTTCCATCATAAGTGTGATTTTGGGATATTACAAATTTAGGCAACTAGGAATTTATTGAAATGGTATTTTATGAGAGTGCTATTATCATTATATTTCAGAGTTAAAATTTATAACTAAAGCTGGAATTATGGCTGTTTCCAGGCTTTCTTAAAGAATTACATTTAAGATATGATGGGAGGAAATGAATCCCCTTGTTTTTTTTTTCTCTCTTTGATCATGAAACTGTCAAGATTCACCTACACTGGTCTGATGAAGATCTGTGCTAGTGATTTGAAATGTACAACAAAAGGAAAGTTCTTACTGTCCTAAGTCATTTATGAGAATACTTGATTTAGGAAAATATGCAATGTAGATGTAATTTACTACTAATTATCAAGTACAACTTATGGAATTTTTTTCTCCCAAGTCAATTTTTGTTGGTTTTTTTTTCCATCATTTTCGATTTTAAATCTTGATGTTAAAACATTTTTTCTGCTACTTTAAACTAATGAATTGAAGACTTTTTATTTAATATGATGAAGGTTTGATTTACATAAGTTATTCAGATGTTAATTGTATTATTTAAAACATATATAATTGAGCTAAAGAAATTTAGGTTTTTGGTGTACTGTATACTTTTTTACTTAAAATATGAGTGCACTTTATGAAGACTTCTATGTTTTTCATGTTTTACTAGGAATGATGAAGTTTTTGTCTCTAAAGGCAGCTTTATTAGAGCCTGAGACATTGTCCCTAATGCTACAGTTTCACTTGACTACTGCAGCCTGGCTCTGTCAAGTTGGAGTATATGAAAACTCAACAGAGCTAGAACCACTGACATTTCCTCTTCCATCCTCTGTTCCAGAAGCTCTCAAATGTATTCCAGAATTTGTCATTCATAATGTGACAGATTGCACAATTTTCATAAAAAGATTCAGCCCAACAAGCTTTGAGGTGAAGCAAAACACTTCTTATCTTTAAGTAAATTATTTTTATATTTAAAATATGTTAGATTTATATATTTATGCTATATAGTAGCAAATGATGAATTGTAATGAATGATCATGCTACTTTATATATCTCTTTAAAAAAATGTCATAAGGGTTTCTGAGAACTCTGATCCTTTTACCCTGTAGAAAGGGACAAATAAATTTTTTATGAAGCTTCAAATGAAACCTCAAATTAGATAATTAACATTTTATTTTCAAAAAATAAAAACATTGTACTTCTGGTATCTTTTTGTAAGTATCTGAGAAAAAATTAAGATGTTTTAAGAGTTTTCTCTTTATTATAAAGAAACAGTTAACAAAACTGAAGGACTATTATGCATATATACTCCATATGAGTGGGTAAAAGTAAAAATAGTGTTTTATACATTTAGGAAGCAAGAAAGTTTTATGTAATACTGTTAAGTTCATTTAACTGTGTTAAATAACAAAATAAAATAAAAAGAATTAGTTACAGTAAGTCATTATTAGAGCATTGTTATGACAATGCAGAATGATATTCTTAAGTTATTTTGTCTTGTAAGAAATACATATTGTGTTTGGCTATGTGCATTTTTTATTTCCATTTAGTGAGTTACAAATGCTTCCTTTATAGGTTTTTCATACACTTTTTTTCAGGTAAGTTGTATTCAAACTTCTGAAAAATCCAAGATTTAAACTCTGTGTTTTTAGAGCCCCATAAAGGTTATGAAGTTAAATTAGTGTTGTTGTTTTTTTCATTCTGTTTACTTTGAGGTAGATAACAAAACTAGGATTAAAACATATATATATATAACTACTTGGACTATCTGGCAAAAGGCCACTTTCTTTATGGTTAGTTGAGGGGAAATTGTCTTGCCTCTGTGTCTATTTGATTAGAAATAAGATATGAAATTGCAAAAATTAAATTAAATTATTTAGATTTTGAATATAGTGTGGAGGAAAATTAGATGTTTTATATCTTCTTTATTCAGTAATTGGAACATTGAAAATTCACCTAAAGTTTTTAATCTTTATACATACATATGTAAGTTTAAAAGTAGAACATTGGTCAAGGAATGCAATTAAGTTCTTTTTTGCTCTAGTTACCTATTGTTCTGAGTTATTCTCCTATGGTATCACTTGCACTTTCTCATGGGATAGTAAAACACTATGTGAAGGAGGACAGTGAGGTCAGATGAAACCTTTATAATGTATTGTCTCTTATTTTTCTGTCGTCGTAATCTACAACAGTGACATAAGTAGCACATGGATCATGTAAAGGATACAATTATAGAACTGTGTAGATAATGCCATTTTCTCAGCCTGTGATAGATTTACGGAATTTGTAGGGAGCTCTCAACATTCAGTAAAAACACTGTCTTTTGTCTTGCACACCAGTCACTTTTGTTGTTTTAAAGTTTTGAATAAAAATTGCTTTTTTCTCTTTGTTCACATTGTGTTTGGTCTCTTTCTTCAAACTCAAATAAAGTTACAGAATTCAGTTTTAACTCCACAGTGCATTTTCTGGTCAAACCTTTAGTTGTTAATGAGTTCTTCCTAATCTGTTGAGGGAAAAACAGTTTATCTGGAAGTACCACATCAAAACAAAAGGGTGGTAATTAATCTAGTATGTACAGCTAAAACATGTACCAGTCATACCGTACTTTTCTCATTTCATCTTTTTTGGGTGGACGAAACTAGATAATTTATGATGATGGTAAAGAATTATTCATTTGTGAAAGTCATATTTTCTTAGTTTTTGTCACATTTTGACAGCTTCATTTCCTGTCTTCTTCTTTTTTCTATCTGTATCAGCTTCTTTTTTACTCATGATTTAACACTATTGGTCATCTTTGGAATGGATGTTTTATAAGTTTAAAACATTTGATGGACTGTAGTTTGTATAACAGTGGATTTAAATATTTATAACAATATAATTTTAATTTTGCACACAAACATGCTTAAAATACATATGCAGGAATGATAGTAATATGTTATTTGCACTTATAACATGTTCTACTCAACAAATTACTAAAATGAGCATTTTTATTATTTTGTCTATAAAAGGAAGACCTTTTTTCACAGTAAAGGATACTTATCTGAATCACACAATTTTTATATGCAGGAAGTCGGTCCTATGTTAGGTCACTTGCTTAATTTAGTTTTGGTGTTTATGGGTTCACCAGAAAGGATTAATAACCCCCATTTACGAGCAAAACTGGCTGAAATTTTAGAAGCATTGATGCCACCTAGAGACCAAGAACGATATGAAGGGCTCTTAGTGAGGTAAGTAGTTGTTGTTTGCTTAATTTGGTACATTTTTACAATGTTTTATCAGTGATTTAAGTATTGTATTGAAAATGCAGAAAACACAGTTTTTAATCTCTTAATTTTTTTCTCAGCTTCGTCATCTAGTTAACAGTAACATGGCACAGAGAATTGTATAATGTAACTATGAAATACTGTTACAAGTTTTTAAGGTACTTACAGGTGAAGTTGTGTAATTACTGTGTATATGTTATTATTGCCAAAATTAACTACAACATTTTTGAACATAATATAATTAAATGACTTAGTCTGTGGTGAAGTTGTCAGTAAGTATTTTGGTTTTTGCTAGTGTTGTAATTCTTTGAAAACATCTCTACTCAAGTCCCAGCATCATTAGACTCATAAGCTGTTAACTGTACATAAACCATTGTTATTAGGCATACTGAACTTTACTGTACTTAGTTTGTCACCAGATCTTTGAAATAATATAGGAAATAATTGTATGTTTAGTGGAACCATCAGTGTTTCTTGGTAGTTGTACTTCTAAATTTACATTCTGCTGTAGGGTTATCTTCTTTAAATATGTTTGTTTTTTGCTTTTATTTTTAGTTGCACTCAAAGAGAAAAAATGTTTAAAGAATTTCCAAACATTATTCATCTGGTTCCTACTTTGCTTCATGTATTCATCAGCATTGAGATGACAGGACATAATGTTGCCTTTGAGGAGAAATTTCAGTATCGCCGACCCATGTACATTGTTCTGTACTATCTGTGGAAGATAGAAGTGCACAAGGAGAAGATTAAGGTAGAATGAATTATGAACTTTAAATTTGTATTCACAACAGTTGGATATACTTGTTTAATATCCTCTGGGAGTTTGTTTTATGGAATTAACAGAGGGTATTCGAATATCATATGTATAGTGTACAGGTTATATACATGTAAATTAGTCAAAAATCTGAAGGCTACTAAAAAGTGAGAGGATAACAGTAATGATGAAAAACGTGTTTATTAGAAGTTTCGGAATAACATAGATTCCATGATCAGAAACTTAATGGAAACAGGAGTGTTTACAGACAATAAAAGAAAAGGAAAAAAAAAAAGAAGTATAAGAATTACAAATAAAAACAGGCTTAATTGAAAAGAGGACTATGAACTCTTAAATGTAGGGAGACATACTCTTTTTAACAAGGTTTCTGTTATTAAAAATTCAGATTTAGCAGTAGTTAAAATGGTGAAGGTGGGGGTGAATTAGATCTTGTGCCCTTATGATTATAAATTCAATTAACCTATAAAAGCCTAAACCCTGTGCTATTTTAAAATTCATAAGCCTTGTGCAGGGTGAAGGAAGATTATTCAATCTTCAAGCACCCCCTGATGATTAATTAGTTCTTTATAAATAATTAATTTACATCAAAATAACTGCCAGTTTGTTATTCAGTTAGTACTCTAGGCTGAGTTTTATTTTTCTGCTTGATCTATCTTTAACAGCAGGTAATTGATACAAGTTAGTCACAATGAGACTGGGACTTTTGTGATTTAGTGGTATACCGTACAGGCATACAAAGATAACTGCCCACTGTATTGAACGCTCATATAGAGAGAATGAGACTAAAGACACTGCCCTTAATCCGGAATATTGAGGTGCCTGTTATTGCAAGATTTATTTTGTTTATAAATACTAAAAAATAGAGACTGAAAAGGTTTACCCTTAATGGTGTGGTAGCCATTGAGATGCTCATTAATTGAGATTGTACTGTATCTCCTAAAGAGGCTAACACTTATTAATTTGATTTGTTATTTTTATCATTTTCCCAACAATGATATGCCAGAGATGAAACATTTATTGTTATGTTTTTATATTTATAGTTTCTTGTCAAGTGCATGTCCATTATTTTTAGTTTACATATTTATTGGTTTTAAAAAAATTAATACAGTTTTTCAATCTCTCTCTCTCTCACACACGCACACAAAAACTATCTTTACAACATTGAAATTTCTTTTCCAACAAGCATATACTGTCTTGTAGAAGCTGTCATCAGTTGACCCCTATTTTTTTAAGTATGTTATTCATAAAATTGTCACATTTTTAAAGTTTGCATTTGAGGATTTTTTTCATATGGTTGAAATAAGTTTAGATGAAGTTACTAATTGTATTGTATGTGACCTTCTGAAAATTTATTTTTTTTTCATTAAGTTTTCATATTATCACTCCAGAAAATAAAACTATTACTCTATTATTTTAGTATAGTAATATACTACAGTTCAATACAATTAACTAAACTGGCAATATTCATTTGCTAAAAGTTGCACAGTACACCTGTAGCATATTTGGTTTAATATTTTCTGTTATTTGTTTCTCTTATAGCAGTTAGCAATAGAAGCTGAAGAAAAAGTTGAAAATGCAGACGTTCCTCTGTTCCTTCGCTTCATAAATCTCCTCATTAATGATGCTATCTTTCTCTTAGATGAAGCTCTTTCAGTGAGTGAAACTATTTTAATATTCTCGAAAATACATTTTGATAACAGTAGGCTTATTTTCTTTTGAATTTTTAAGTTTAAAGGTCTTTCATTATGAGAAAAGTTTTACATTTACATCTTTTTTTTGTTTGCTCTTTCATTAATTTAATTTGAAACTTGTGTGTGTGTTCAATATTTTTCATATTGAAATTTTGTTCCAAGTATTCAAAACCATTTTCTCAGCATTTTTCAACATTGCACGTTTCATAAAATTATCCTTCAAGAGAATACTTAGTTAAGAAAATCTCTTTATCACAAAATGTAATATAATTTAGTCGAAGGGTTTTTTTCCTGTGTTTTTTCATTAATTCTGGGAATAATGGAACAGTGAAGAGTTTGCAAATTCAGAATTCATCTCAAGTTGAGCCTGCTATTGTAAAATAAGTTATTTTTTCAGCTGAAAAAAAAGTTATAGTATGTATCATACTATTAACAACTGCTTTGAAATAATTGGAACTTTTTTTTTACAACTTATTGAATCTTATGTTTGACTGTTGTTTGATAGTAGTAACTATTGTTTGTTATTGGGTATGAATTTGATAATATAACTTCACGTACACAAGTAATTTTTTTTAAGTTATAAAATTTTCTAGTTTTACTTTATGGGCTGTTATCTATAAATGGGTGTAAAATGAATGCATGTTGTCAGTGTGTTGATTTCTGTTGATAAGTTATCATTTATGCAGGATATTATCATATTATCATTTAACTTATTAAAAGTTGATTAAAACCTAGATAATAAATACTCTGAAAATGGTACAAGTTCTCTGACTGAATCATCAACAGTATGATTGATTTCCTTTTAGAATTTTATTTTGTTTTTTGTACAAGTAACTGAAATGCACTCGCACACAGACAAACACAAAGTGTACTTGCATATTTTATTATAAAAACCAAAAAATTATTCTTGTCATAAGACATTAATATAGGGCCTATTACATTTTAAAATGCTACATTCTTTATCTAATCCCTTAAGATTTTCAAGAATTTAGAAGAGTTTACAATAATAGTATTCCAACCACACTATATTTGTCATATCCATTGCTGACAACGCAAGAAACACGGTAATAGTTAGAACATTATTTATATTTCAGCCATTTGATACAAGCTGGTAAAGAATTATTACAATTATACTTGTTATAAGACATTAGTATTAGACTTATTACATTTTTAAACACTATGTTTTTAATATAGTTCCTTAGGGATTTTCGAGAATTAAAAGAGTGTATTATAATTGTATTCCATCCAAACTATATTCATCTTATTTATTGCCAACAGTGCTTTTAACTCATTCCAGGGCTCTTCAGGCCAGCTGTATAGTTATAAGAGATTCACTTTTCATAACAAGTGTTGCTTTCATATATTCTAGTTTTAACTTTACTGTAAAGATATTTTTAGTATCATGGTCTCAAAAGGTTTGCACAGGTTTATTATTCAGCCAATTCTATTGGTATTTACATGGCAGTTAGAGCCGTCGACTAACAATCTGTAGGTCACGAGTTCAACTTCCATCACCAAACATGCTCGCTCATTCAGCTGTGGAAGTGTTATAACGTCAATCCCACTATTCATTGGTAGAGAGTAGCTCATGAGTTGGCTGTAGGTATTATTGACTAGCTGTCTTCCCTCTAGTCTTTCATTTCAAAATTAGAGACAACTAGTGCAGATAACTCTTGAGTAGCTTTGTGTGAAATCCAAAAGAAGCTATTGATAGTCATGTTGAATCTCATTTAGACAAAAAAAGTTGTTTACTAAAATTTAATGATCACAAACTTATTGATTTCACTATAATTAACTATAATGTTACACTGAGAAAATAGACATATTGTATAATCTTCTGCTTTTAAAGAACTAATTTTTAGTTTTGGGACACTTAAAATTGTATTTTTAAAAACTATTTTTTCATCATAGAATACTTAAGTTAGACTTTCTGTGATTAATACTTAATGAATCTGAAAGACTACATAGATCCACATTTGTATTGTTAATGGAATACTGTTAATAAGCTATTGAGTAAAGATTAGATTTTTAACAAAGTAAATGACTTGTATAACTGTATTGTTACCACAACTGTATTCAGTCTGAAGATGTTCAGATTATTGCAAAAATTTTCTTTTTTAGTTAATGGCTAAAATCAAAGAACTGCAGATAAAACGAGACAGTGGAGAGTGGAATTCTCTTCCAACTAGATATCGACAGCAGAATGAGGAAAACTTCCACCACCTTGGCCTGTTGGCTAGGTTTCATAATGTTATGAGCAATGAAACTATCTACACCCTGAAATGGTTGACATCTGAAATTACCTCTATTTTTTGTCATCCTTCTATGGTTCATCGCATTGCCTCTATGCTGAATTACTTCCTGTTACACTTGGTATGTTATTCTATTTTTCTTTTTACAGGTTTCTTTAATTGCTATATAGTACTTATGCTTTAGAAACTAAGTAAGTCGTCTATTTATGTAACTGTAATAGTGTAGTGTATAGTCATGATGCTAGGAAAACATATAGATTCAAGAAATCAATTTAACACGAAAATACAATACCCTATAACCCGAGCACTTTCGATAAGTGGAGCTTTTTTTTCAGGGGCAAACTAGGAATGTTTGCTCCTGAAAGAGAAATGTCCACCTTCTGAAAGTGCTCAGATTATTGGGTATCATATTTTAATGTAGTATAGTAGTCATTCACTTCAGGTTTTGTTTGCATGTTTTAAATGTCTTTACCATTGGCCACCAAAGTGTTTAATGAGCATAGTTCTTACATTTGTAATGTATATTGATATTGACCTTTTATGGTCTTTACATTTATGAAACATTCACGAGATACTGTATGTGCTAGAAAAGAAAAACTTCTTTAAACTTATGGATGCCAGTAAGTGAGCAAGCTGTCATTTTTAAATACCTGGGGTGGCATCATCAATGATTGAGTATAAAAATTGCTCCACAGAATTTGTTAAAAATTCAGAATAAGTATTAATCATTTCTGCAATTTTTAAAAACAAAATACTTTAAATTTGTACTTAAAAATTCAGAAGAAATTTAAATCTGGATTTTATCTTTGTAGTTAATATCAGTTTTCTGAATGGCAACATTTCTGTTTCAATTTTTCTTTTGTATTTCTGAATGTATTGCACCATTTATAGCTGTCTGAAATGCAGACTGACATAAGTTTGAAAGAAGTGGTGTCAATTTGAAATTTGTAACTTCAGTACAAGCCCACTTACTTTTTATATAATGCACTGTGTCTTAGCTTTGTAACATCATAGATTAAACATCTAAGGATGTGATAAGAGCTTTTTTTTTCCTGTGCATGTTAGTGTGTGTGAACCAATAGTATATCACGTGAAAGCATGACTTTGAAGAGCCAACTTTGAGTAAGGAGAAGCTTTGGTTCGATATTGTGTGATCTAGAAAAGTAGTTTTCTCAATAACTTCTGTAGCATATAAAAGCCACATTTGTTTTTGTTAAGCCTGTTTTATAACTTAGTGCATCATTTGAATATGTTCTGGTGGTATGATAGAAAAATAGTTTGTTTTCATGTAACAAGAACTGTATGAGAATCTTTAGGCTTAGATGACAGGGAGATCAAATGCAAATGAAAACCATATAAAGATAATTAATATGATTTTTTTCTTTTTTTTGTATATTGATATTTATTAAACAAATTTAAGCTATTTATAAATAATGTTTTATACTTTGCTCTAGGACAGGTGTCTCTAAACCTTTTTGGACAAGGGCCAGGAAGTAGATCTTTTTAGGCTTCACGGGCCAGAGGGGTTGTGGTAAAATTAAGTAGGGATGCATACATGATCAGATTGGCTTTTGCTCAATTACGTTTTATTTTTTGTTTTTATAATATTAAAAAAATGTATTATTACTTGTAATAAACTCTTGGTGGGCCAGATAAACTGAAGTCGCGGGCCATAGTTTGGAGACCCCTGCTCTAGGACAAAATATAATTGACAAAGTCAAATTTATGATATATATATATATAATTGTAAGTTTGCAGTTCATTTTTTCACTATCTTATTATTGTCAGTGCAATCTCAGATTGAACGTTACAAAAAAAAGACTAACATAAGATAATAATTTATTTATTTATTACAAAAGAATGCAGTTACCACTCAGAAAAAACTTGTATTTGGAAACTGCATTTATTGCCGTCGGGAGGGTTAAAATGGACATTTTGTGACCTGAACTGATTTAATCATTTAGTCGGACTAAACAGCAAACCACTTTGTTTCTTCTTTTCATCTATTATTTTTGCAAGTCATTTGTGCATGTTCATACATAGAAATGCTCAAATCAGTCAACATTCAAATGTAGGAAGTTTCACCAAGAAGACCACTGTTTCTTACACCATCTTTATGTTAGTTTTATCAGTAATGGGGCTCTGTTGGGGAAGGTAATACACTGAATATGAATGTATATATATATAAAAGAATCTTAGAACTTGCTGAATATTATTTTTAAAAAAACCTTCTGATTAACAACAATAAAACAGTTGCCTTGTTTATATTTTTTCTATTTTAACAAGTTTATTTTTATATCAGTGATTGCAAACAGTAAAAATACAAATGGTGTTTTTTGTAATCAAAACAAAAACAACTTTTTAGAACTAAAATGTTATGAGAAATATATTTATATATATATATGAGAAATTAAAATCTTGAGGAATAGTTTCTTTTAAAAAAATATTTCATAAATAAATATTTAAAATTTCCAAACCTGAGGATTCATACAAATATCAAATTAAGGTTTTTCATTCTACTGAACCTACATAATCTTTAGATAGTCAATCTCAAATTTCAGGCAGTTTCCTTGAATGATTTTTACTGCAAACAGCAGCCATAAGATAAAGATCTGTTGAATCAATAGACCTAAGCATTTTCAAATATTTCAAGATCTGTTGATTCAACAGACCTGGCACGTAGAGCTTGTAGGATTAATACACTGAGAGGTGATTAAGAATTAGACCAAAGATCACAAAGAAAGAAAGAAAAAAAAGAAGTTTTTTCAACTCATCAAATGAAACAGAAATCTACAGTATGTGAATACCATTATTTGGACATAATTATCTAAAAACTGTCTCTGAAATTGAACTAAATGTGAAATGGGCCTGTTTAGCAAAGTGTGCACTCAATTCTTGATATGAAGGTCTTAATTTTAATTAGTTCAAATTTATTAACATTGAAAATTCAGTGTAGAAAATATGTTAGTATTTAATTAGAAATTTTGATTTCCAGAAGATATAAAACAAAAAATTATTTAAAATATTAAATTTAGTGGGTTAGCATGTTATTATTGATATTAGCTTCTGATAAAAGTAAGCTACCCACATATATAACTAAAGTCAACCCAGTAAAAAGTATATCTAACTGAAAATACTGTTCATAAGTTTTTACTTATAAATATTAAAATGCATTGTTTTTTTTTATATGGGTACTGTAGCTGTTGGTGATATTTCTGGCCATAATTTTTAGAGTTATTAATCTGTGTTTTTGTTGTTGTTTTTTTCAGGTTGGACCAAAGAAAAAAAACTTGAAAGTCAAAGATCTAGGAGAATATGATTTCAAACCTCATCAGCTGGTCCAAGATATCTGTGAAATTTACCTCCATTTGGGTGCAACAATAGGACCTACATCTCGAGCATTTTGTCTAGCTGTGATACAAGATGGTAGATCTTATTCCACAAGCCTGTTTCCTCAAGCTCAAGTTGTACTACATAAAATTGGAAAATCAATTTTGGCTACTGATTTGGAGCAGTTGCATGAAGCCATACAGGTGTGTAGCTTGTTTGTTTTATTACCTTAAAAATTATTGTCATATAGTTTATTAATATAAATAGTGTCTCAACCATTATATCTTTCATGTTCCTGACAGCATCAAGAGCCCCAGTGTTGGGGGGCAAAAGGCCTTGTCAGTACTGGTTATATCAGATATAATGAGAGAAAACAATACTTTTAATGAAACTGCCGGTTAAACTACACAAATAATTGTTGCTCAACTCATGAAATTTGTAGATGAATCCATTACAATATAAGCAGAAAGACTGGTATTTGTTTGTTTAAAATTTTCATCTTCTGTATAAGCATATAACCAAGATGCTAGTTGAATATTTCAAGCCTTTTCTTCGCGCATCACAAAAAATCATTTACTCTTTACTCAAATGTTGTTGTAGAATACAACTTTCTTACCTAGAAATAAAAATGTGCAGGGGGAATGTATAGCAGAATATTGTACATATTATTAGCTTATCAGGTGTTGACTAGCAGGTAGTTAATTTTTTTTTAAGGAATTATTAGTTAAATAACTACAAATGGTAGTTATACTACATAAAATTGTGATATCCATTTTATCCACTGTCTGTAAGATATTTGAGATAATGTCAACTTTGTTTAGTATGTATGTTACATTTTTCATAGTATTTACGTTTTTTAAAATCAATAATTCATCTGATGCTTTAAAGAAAAGAAAAAAAAGACTTTAATAATGAGCAGAAATGAAAATCTCTATTGATTTACTCAAATATTATTGGCCAGGTGATTAGGGAGCTCGACTCGCAATCTGCGGGTTTGAATCCCCCGTCCCACCAAACATGCTCACCCTTTCAGCCGTGGGGACGTTATAATGCATGGTCAATCCCACTATTCGTTGGTAAAAAGAGTAGCCCAAGAGTTGGCAGTGGATAGTGATGACTAGCTGCCTTCCCTCTAGTCCTACACTGCTAAATTAGGGACAGCTAGCGCACATAGCCCTCATGTTACATGTAGTTTTGCACGAAATTTAAAACAAACAAACAAACTCAAATATTATGTAACACCATAGTAAATTCAGTCTATTAGATTAAATCTCTGATAGTACATGAATCAGAAAATTATTGTTTATATGATTTGTAAGGTTTATTCTTTTTTTAGTGTTGCTTTCATTGACGTTGGTGATTGGAATGTTTTAAAATATTTCAATGTTTGTAAGTGGTCTTAAATTATTGATGATACAGGATACTTCTAATTTTATCTAGTTACCTGGAAGTATAGTTTTTTTAAAAATGTATATAAGTAAATGTGGCATTTCAGTTATGATTCTGTGGGATTGAGCAGCAAATGCTTATTTTATGTTGATCATTTTATATAATCCTGTATTGTTGTTCTTTAAGTTCATAACTTACGATAATAACTGATCATTTTCTAGTATGGTTGCAATTAATATACCACTTGTCAAAATATTTTGTATAAAGTATTCTAGTGTCTCAAGAACCTTCAGTTACTAGGGCAGTGACCACAATTCTCAATATTCAGACATGAAATAGAAATGTTTAGTGAAAAAAAATTTATAGTTAAACCTATGTAATACATAAGTAGATTTTGTGATGTCAAACAGCTGTTAATAATCTTATGCAAGTGATAACAAACTGTGTATTGCTTGTCGAAAAAATTAGAAATAGACTGTATTTATCTTAGTGACTAAACTTGCCGATAATCATTTTCTGGTTGGTTCAATATAATAGGTACACACATATAGGTATTTTCAAATAATTTGTTTGTGGTTGACCAGCTTTTGTTTCAATATTCAATGTAAGTTTTAATGTTTTCTGTGGTTTCAGAAACTTGCTGTGGACCAGAAAAGAGACGATGAAGCAACAGCAGATGCACCTGAAGAATTCTTGGATCCAATCATGAACACTTTGATGGAAGATCCTGTAATACTTCCCTCCTCCAGAGTTAGAGTAGATAGATCAACAATTGCTCGGCACTTGTTAAGGTTAGTTGAAGGTACTGGGTTGATGGATTCAGTGTATTTTATCAGAATAGATGTTTGAAGTTTATATTCTGCTCTAGTTACCTTTTTTTTTTGTAATTACTGATAAATTTCACAATCATTAATGCTATGGTTGTTTATCCCACCCTTGGTTTGGCACTTCAAATAAATAATATTGTTTAATTAATCTGATTTGTAAATGACTTAAATACCACTGATAATATTGTCTGTGGTATCCCAACTGAACACTAGCAAAATTCCTTTTTGGGACCAAATATGTGATTCTTAATTAGTCAGCACTAATACATTGCATCTGTAATTATTTATCTTTCATCTATAGCTATCAGAATGGTATGAAATTCTTTTTTTTATTTCCTTAGTGACCAATCCGATCCTTTTAATCGCAGTCCCCTATCAATGGATATGGTAATACCGGACCCTGAACTGAAGCAGAAAATTCAAGAATGGTTAGAGAAACAGAGAAGAGTTTCTTCCTGAAATAATTAGGGAATAATAGCTAATTGTTACCTGTGTTTGAATTGTACAGAAATTGTTTTATAATTATTAATGATTACGATATGCAGCATAAATAAAAAATTGAAGCAGTTTTTTTGTGTATATGAATTATCCAGTCTACCACATACATCAATTTGTCTGCTTTACTTTATACATTTTATTTTCATTGCAAAAGCACGTGTAGATTTTTCTAATGAACCAATGATAAAATTGTCATAGCTGATTACAAGCTGTGTTTTCTGATCATTAGTGAAAATAAGAATACAAAATAAACTATGACAGTCCTCTGTTACTTGCCTTCAAAGGTGTTTGAAGCTTTATTAAGCATATTTTACAATTTATAGTACACATCATCTCATTGGCTGAAAATTCATTTTTTTCAATACGAATTTCCTCCTTTGGTCAGATTGTTTCATCTTTCTGTTAAAAGCATTAAACAAAGTTAATCAGATTAGTTGTCTACAAGTTTTTTGCCCAGCCACTTCATATAATTATGTCAGGACTATTATTACCTAGATTAACTCATTATGATGAAATGGTTCTTTTTCGATACAACTTGTTATAATAGACTGTCAAATTTTAAAGGAATGAAATACTATGACACATTGTTCAGTTCATAACCTAATAATGTCAATAAGAAAAACTATGGTCCCTCATAAGTCGTAACAGCTTGTTGATTTTACTAGCTGAGAGACTAACAAGTACCAAGAGTTTTAAAATCAACCTATCAAAATTTTCTCATCTCATAATGAATGACAGGAGTGTAAAATACACCTTGATGTTCCAAATAAGATTTCAGTAACAGTTAAACATTATGAAAATTAATTTGTTAATAAAATAGTATGTAGATATGCTGTACCCAGTCCACATAAACATAGCAGGTGAGACACTACATATGTATAATCAGCAGCATCAAACAAGCACTATTTTTAAAACTGTTGTTTATTTGATAATATGATCTAACTTGATGCATGAAATTATTATAGATCTTAGTGGTAACGTATTGTTATGAAATTATCTTGTTTCAGAATTAATTACACAAAATGCCAGCATGTATATACTATAATCCTACAAAAGTTTAAGCTATACATTAAGACTGTACAAACATCTAAGTTGGTGAGAGATGATTGTCACCAGTTTTTATACCATACTCTTCAGTTAGAAAAGGCATAAAAGTCTGGACTGTGGAACATTGGTATAGTCAGAGATTATGGGGAAGAAAAATGAAATGTACTTTATCAGGGAAAAAATAATAAAATTAATCAGAAATACAATCAAAAGTTACTGAAGTTTAATTATCCTGCCATAATTATAGGTTAGAAGGTATAACACAAAATTCTCACTGCATTATTACAGTTCATGTTGCCATTTCTAACCAAGCTCTGTGACAACAGCCCTGTTGAGTAACTTAAGTGCATAAGGCTGCCATGACCACAGTTCACTATTCCTCTCTATCTGGTTTCCCTAAACCTTTTAGTGCAAAGGGACAATGGTTTCCAGTGATCGTTTTCACAGTCTGATCATATAGAAATCTATAGATGCTGTATCTGGCTAGAAATAGTATGAATATGCATTTCATTCTCCAGCTGCTTCAGATATGTGACAGTTGAATGGATATGCTATGGAAAAAACTTGTGTACACATCTTATGTTGCTTTCCAGATGTAGATCCTCCTTGATAACATCACATATGTTGTCCTGAGACATATGGATTCTCACTTGTTAAAAGACACCACACTTGGCTTAATAAGGATAACACTTTTTATAGGGGTATTTTTCTGCGTGGCCCCAATACCCCAAGTTGATCCATATTTCTTCTTTTCCAATTCCATTATGTTCAAGGTATATCCTATCTTGGAAAATTTTAAATCTCCAGCCTGAATAAATATTTTATGATCGGAGTGTATGAATACTTTGTGTTAGAAAGGGCTGTCACATACCATTCACAACTCTATCAGCTACATGATTTGATGATATGCATATTCAGAATTGTTGTGATGTAACACACTCGACCCTTTGCAGAACTGAATGTTAAAGTATAACAACTATTTCATCTACAAAAACCAAAAAAAGTGTTAGCAAACCTTATGCTAAGAAAAAAAACTGTCAGCAATGTGTTTTTGTTTCAGTTTTATTTTATTTACAATATTATACAGTTTTAATTACTACATTTATGTTTCATGACATTTTTCCAAACAAAATGTACAAAAGAATACTACTGAATCATTCATTACTTTACAAAAATTCCTGTCAATCTCAAGAACTTTTCTTACACTACTTAACTTTTGTAGAACACAGCAATTCATAATAAAGGTAGAAAAAAATCTAAGTACAGTTAATTCATGTTCTTCACACTAAACTTGTTTTTGACTAAGTCAATGACAACTTAGTCTAAAAACAGCAACAAGTATCCTTATCAAACCGTAACAGTAAGAAATGTATGACGTGTGTATATTAAATCTAATACATCTTTAAACATACTTGATTTTGTTTTAACATGTAAGAGCATTATGCTCTCTGTATTATCTGTTAAAAATTTATAAATGTTTTCATTTCCAACAACTGTAACTCAACACATGCAAAACCAAAATGTTTAGTTCAGGATTTACTACCAGCTGAAAAATCTCATAACTTACCACAGAGAATGAATCTTCTGGAAAGAAGCTTTATAAATGTAACAAAAGATTTTACTACTTCTTATACACTGATGATTGTAGCTTATACTCCTTCTCAGAACGACTTTCTTTCTCTTTAATTTTATGACCCTTTTTCTTTTTATGTTTTTTATGCTTTTTGTGTTTTTTATGTTTCGATTTCTTATGCTTAGCTCTTTGATCTGAATCAATACTTCCACTTCTTGTATGCTTTCTCCCACTTGTTGTATCTGATGAATCACTGCCGCTAGGACTGCTGGTTTGCTCTCGTTTCCTTCCAAAAGCTTCATTTTTTTCTGCATCTAGACTTAAGGCTCGTTCAACTTCTTCCTTCTCTTTTTTTGGGCGCTTTGATGGACTTGTTTCGTCTGATGGAATGGTATGTTTACGACGATTTTCAGGAGTTCTTGTAGGTGTGTTTGGCTCTGGACCAGATGGTTCCGAGTCACTTGTTTCATCATAGTTTGGTTCAAAATGGGATTCATCTTGAGTGGGATCTCTATGACTGGTTTGAGTTGATAATAAAAATTTGCATGAGTTGTCTTGCTGGTTACTGCTCTGTAAGTCTTGAGTGTCCGAGCTCTTTTGTCCAGCTGCTTCTTTGTTTACAATACTGCCTACAAAACTAGTATCTTTTCTATTTTCTTCTAAATGTTTTGGTTTTTCATTCTTTCTAGACTCACTCCTGGACTTTAGCATGGTGTCTGTGTCAATGCCCTTTCTATTACTTTCTGTTTCTATTTTGTCATCTCTTTTCTTTATTGACCCTCCAGTGTTGGGACTTTGGCTATGTGTTCTTCCATGCTGAGACTTCTCCCTCCTTCCTTCAGTGAGAGATATCTCTATTCTCTTAGAATGAGTTTTCTCTCCACTCCTAGATGAATGTTGTTCATGATCTTTTTTCTCTCGTTTATATTCAGTCTGATCTGAGGTCAGATTCCTTCCATGTCTTCCTTCTTCATTTCTGCTTACAACCTTTCCTCTATCTTCTTCATGACTATTATAGTGTCTTTTCTCATGTCTTTCTATTTCTCCCCTATCTCGACGATACACAAAACTTCTGTCATCTTGTCTTGATTCACGGTCATGTTTGGACTCTGAACCACCAGAAAGATTTCTGTTCCTTTCCTTGTTATGGCTTCCCCTGATCATTTCATCTTCTCTAGAGACTCCCCTTCTAGGACGGTCAGGTGTGTCTCTCCTGGATTGGTGTTCCCTTTCAATTCTTGTATCTCTGCTTCTAATATTGTCTGATCTTAACTTCTCCAACTTTTGTTCTTGTTGTTTATCCATTTTTTGTTTCTTGTATCCTTCAGAATCTGAACTGACATCTTTTGAGAATCTGGACCTGTCCAATCTTACTTTTCTTGTAGAATTTCTGTTACTATCTGTAAACCTGCTCCTGTTATCTCTATCTTGCTGAGAAGCTACCTTTTCTGCTCTTGGTCGAGAATATTCCTGTTCTTTCCTTGGTAATTTAGAATGAAGTTCTTTCTCAGGTTCTTTTTTGGCATCTGTTACCAATTTTGAAGAATGCACACTGAAAAGTGGTGCTTTTCGGGGTTTGTGGAGAATTACCTTTTCTGCTCTCTGAATAACATCTGATGGAAGAGCATTTTTTTTCTCTTGTGAATGAACCTTTTCTTGTCCTTGTGATGCTCTATCTTCTTCATCTTCTACATCTTCACGCTCCCACTTGGATATTTCAGGTAATTCAACCTGAAGACTAGGTTCCAGTTCTTCATAGGGTTCTTCTTCATCTACTACATCATCCTGAGGTTCTGGCTTTTCCACCACTGGAAAATTCTCTTGATTCATATTGTTTCCCACATCAGCATCTACACAAGTTGTTTCAGTTTCTGCAATTTCATCACCTTCCATTTTAGGTTCCTCTGTTTCTTCAGTTGCCGTTTCTTCAGGGACAACAGCTGTAACTTTGAAAGTTTTTGAGGTTGAATGACTAGTAGTCTGCTCACTTGTGGTAGAGTCTGCTTCCTGAGCAGTAGCTTCTATTGCTTCACTGGGCTCTAAGACTTCAGCACCAGTTACTGCAGTTACTTCTACTGGCAATTGTTTAGACTTGGATTTTGTCTTTTTCTTCTTAGACTTCAAAGGTCGCTCAGATTCACTTCCAGTTACAGGATTATTTTCACTGGGTGCTTTTTTGGACTTTTTCTTGGAATGTGCTTCACCTTCTTTGGTTTTCTTGTGCTTGTGTTTTTTCTCTTTTAATGCAGGCTCCGGTGCATCTTGACTATTTTTTTCAGGGCCAGATTTTTTAGTTACTTGAGATTTTTCTGTTTCTGATTTTACAATTACATTGGTTTGGCTATCAGATTGTTTTATTTTTTCTGCAGACTGTCTTTTTCGCTCCTTACTGTGATGATGATGTCTTTTATGTTTAGCCTTTTCATCTTCTTCCTGTTTAACATTTCTTTCTGGTTCTTTAACTTTCTGTTCTTGCTGCTTAGGTATATGCACTGGAAGGCTGACTGGCTTAGACACAACCTGAATCTGTCTGCCACGTAGTCGATGTGGTCCTCTGATACGATCACTGTCCTGAGGCCATCCTCGATGATGGAAATGTTGTTCAAGCCGTGGTATTGGTTGACCAAACCTAGGATTGTAACGAACATCTGGATGCTCAAACACAGGGGCATTATATGAGCCAGGAAAATTTTCATACCCATAAGGCTCATGATAATAGTGAGGTCTGTCAACAGAATACTGTTCAAAAGGATTTAAGGGCTGACCAGGAGGAGTTGGGTGTGGAGGGGGAGGGGGTGGTGGATACTGACGATACTGACCACCATAATAACCTGAGTTGGAGTAGTCTTGTCTTCTGTGGTAAGGTGATCGTCTTCTGGGAAAATTAGAATGTCTAGGTGAACGAGAAGGTGCACGAGTGTAATGTCGAGGAGATCTATGTCCTCTGTTTCTGGATCTAGATCGAGACCGAGAATGATAACTAGGACTTCTTGATCTATGTTTTGGAGACCTAGAGTATGATGACCTAGACCTGGATCTAGGAGTGCTGGACCTAGAGCGACTATAAGATCTACTTCTTGATCGGCTGCTGAATGAGTGTGTCCGAGATCTATGTCTTGAGCGTGATGAAATGGACCGTGATCTTGAGCGAGACTTTGACCAAGATCTGGAGCTACTTCGAGAGCGGGAAGACCTTGAGCGTGACCTAGACAATGACCTTTTTCTCCTGTACTGAGACCTATGTTCTAACAGCTGTCTAGCAAAAGTATCCATTTGGTCGGCAGTTGTTCTGCTATAAAAAAACAGTAAAAAATTATCTTTCTTGAATGTTCCGTATAAAACTTTTCAATTTGGCCAAGAATAATTAATTGAAAGTAATGAAAACTGCCCAGTAAATTTATATAGAAAATATATAAATATCCCATTTTTAATTTAGATAAAATAAACAAGGTAGTAAATTCACCAAAGCCTTCACCACATTATTCATATGTCCCTTACTATCTGCAGTATGTTAGCTGCACAAAATACAAGCCTCAAACCAAACACTACCTTACAATTTATATATAATTATTATTCATTAGAGCCGATAGAATTAATCTATCACATCTATCTAGTACATCTATCACATAAAATATTCGACTAATCAAAATTATGATTAAATGGAATGTCACAAAAATAATAAATTGAAATTTAATGCTTCTGATTATTCAAATAACTGACTTATCAATTACAATTAAATGGATTGTCATGAAAATGACCAAATAATTGACACTAGGGTTTCCAACTATTCAAGTAATTGAAATACTGCCACCAAACTTATTTGCTCCATTATTTTTTTAAGGCAAACCTTCTAAGGTTATCTGTCACTGAATCCAATTTTGAGCTGCTGACTAGAAGGAAGGCAACTGGCTGTCAGCACCCTCCACCACCATTTGTTTTATTTTTGAGCTGCTGATTAAATGGAAAGCAACTGTCATCAACATCGTTTTCCTGTTGTTTTTAAACTGCCAACTAGAGTGAAGGCAACTGTTTGGCAGCACACCCTGTCAATTTTTTCTTTGTTGTTGAGGTGCTAACTAGAGCAAATAATAAATGGCTGGCAGCATTTGCCACTAAGGATTTTTTTTTTTTTGTACCTACCATTTTTTGAGGAAAATTTTGGTAATTGATTCACCCTTTAACCACGGGTACCACTTTAAAGACTTTTCTGTGCAACTCACTGTGTTACATTCAAAATTTAATTAAATACCTTTACTATCAATTTATATGAATTAGATTAACATTATAATGTATTTTATGATTCTGAGTTTTAAGTCCTTTATTTCGAAAGCAACCTTTAAAAAACTTCATATGTATTGTCACTTGACCAACAAGCTATGAAAATTCTCTACTTTGGCTCTCTATCTTCAATAGTACAATGGCAGTTGCATAGAAGTATGTATAGATTCTTAAGATGTTTACATAACCTTTTACCTCCTGCACATTAAAGATCTCTGAATGAATACAGTTGAAAAAAGTAATACATATTTTCAACCCCTGAGACCTGCCACACCTATATTCAACAAATTTGTTTGAGCTTTGTAGCCAACATGTAGATGTTACATACATGTGTATAGTCATTAGAAAAAGCTCATTTTACACTATAATCTATGAAATTGATGCACAGTTGTTGTCATGGAGCATGTAACTGACTGTAGTATTGTTGGCTGCTTGATCAACTATGGCACTTAGTTATTTCTTATCTAAATAGAAATACAGTTTAAATTGTATTTAGGTCTTACCCTTATATTTTAGTAATTATGTATTAGTTATGTTTTAAATTGTAAAATTGAAAGGTTTAAATATTTTTAAATACACGTCATACTTTGCATAGGTTCTCAAGGCTTATTATATTGCACAGTGCATGAAACCTTTGCCGAAAGGTTGCACATGTGTGCCAGACACCATAATATGCCTCAAGGACACCGTTGACTTGTGGCGAGATGAATAATTAGTGGTAAAGAACAAGAAAGGAATTAAAACATTAAAAATTAACAACATGTAAAAAGGAAAAACATGAAATTATAAACTTAACAAAACTTAACAAGATATTCTACAAAAAATTAATAGGCATGTATTTTTTTCTATTTTTAATTATTTCATCGCATTGTACATTGATGATAATAGCTAGAGCTAGTGATATGGTAGAGAAAATGAAAAATAAAATATAAACATTTACCTTAAATACTTTTGATATTCATTTTGAAGGTTCTAGATGTTATGCAAATAAAATATGAAACTAAGACAAAGAAAAGTGTTTTATACTTAAAATGAAAATCACCTTATACTCGACCTATTTTAACAGTTTGAGTGCAAATAACTACCATAGATAAATAACATTTCTATTAGAAAGACATAATTAAACTAATGTCATTCTTTGTGTACAAAACAAATACTTATAAATTTTAACAAAATCTTATGAAGTTTTGTGAGGAATGCTCAGTTATATGTTCTTTTGCATAAATGTTCTTCCCCAGTCAAAGTTATACAAATTGCATCAGCCCGAGGAGAAAGAGTTAACTGAATGTAAATGATTAATGGAGTTTTCAATTAAATGATTAGCAAATACCAATAGCTGTTTAGTCTAATTCTTTATATAAATTCTTCTCTTATAAAAAAAAAGTTTTGTCTTGTAGGCACATTTCATAACTACACCTATATGATAATTAGAAAACATAAAACTATATTTAACCTTACTCTATTACTTATATCGTAAAAATTTTAAGTAACACACAAACTAAACTCCACATTTGTATGTGTGTGACAACAGGATATAAAAAGTTGCCACTAGAGGAAAGTTAAACCAACAGCATATGTCACCTCAAGATTCAAACTAATTTTTAATATTTTATCTGAGAAACCCTCCAATACTTTACCAAGTATTATCACGGATATTTCGTTCAGTCTATAAATTTAAGTGAACAATGTATTTGATAATATATAAATATTTTCCCCCATTAATGTGAGTGTTAAAGTATAAATCCTGATATCATGACACCTTTCACAAACCTTGTCTGTTTACTTTAAATTCTTTTACCCCTAAATTGCTAATTTATACTTTGGATGTCACATGAAATGTTTTCACATTTCTTATGACATTTTTTCTTTGCTTTCACCATGCTTATTCATTTTTAACTGTGAATACATAAGAATAATTAACTATAATTTTTGTCAGACCTTTCAATGTTCTACCTTTTTTTACTTTTAATGTATGTCAAGTTACGTTGATTATTCTAATTGCATCATTTTACTGTGCAACTAGTGTGTGTGTGTGTAATCTGTATCTACTTCTTATCTACATGATATTATACAACTTTTAAGGGAACTACAAAGCAAGTAAATCATAATTCCTCTACCTATCTTGTCCATAAGGTTTTTCTGTGGGTTGATATCCTAATGGAGGAATTGGGTGAGCAATCTGTCCCACACCAGGAGGAGGAGGTTGTGGTGGGGGATATGGGGCATGGCGAAGTGGTGAGGAACCTGGATAAAAAAAAAAAGAGAACAAAAAATTAATAAAATATGTATACTATATGGACATAATTACAAATTATTTAGCTATTGTTTTTGTAAAATATTTTGTAAGCAAGTGCTATAAAAATTCTGTAACTGAGTAGGGAAACCTCCACATGATGAGATAATTTCTTTGAATACAAAAATCCTTAATTAGGTCTTATTAATATAAAACATGATCCTAAATCAAACCATAAAACTTGAAGCAGTAACTATACAAAGACTAAAGTTACAATCACTATTTCTTCTCCTCTGAAAAAAAAAAAACACAATTGTGCAGAATGAGAATAAAATAAGTATATTGTAGTTTGCTACTGGATTTATATATAACATCTGTCTTTTTGTATACACATTTTTTTTAAATTATTTTTCTTCTATTTTCTTTATGAAACTAAAGCATGGTCAAATACATTTGTGACTTACTAGCCATTACATGCATTTTTTATAAATAAAAACCACTATTCGAATACTGTAGAAAAAAACTCTTAAAAGATACAATTTCCTATCTTCCATCTGTTATTTATTATTAACGTGTGGATACGAGTTGTACCTAAAGTTTCTTATGCATTTTCTAGCAAAATAACTAACATTTACACATTTAGGATAAAATTATTCTTTTTCTGTCAAATCCAATTTTATAGTGAAAATTTCATAAGCTTTCTGCTAAAAATATGAAAAAAATCTTCTAGAATGTTCAGTTTGTCAGGTTTTATTATTATTAAATTCAGCTATGCAAAAAATTCTTCTGGTTAAAATTGACTACCCTGTGCAAGTTACACCCAGTTAAATCAACAACTGAAAGTGACATTTTAGTTTATAACAAACAATACACATATTTTTCAAAAGACTAACTTGAAGATTAAGAACCAAACAAACAGTAGTAACTATGCTATATATGCTAGCTTTGTTTTCCCTTATACAGTCAGTAATTATTTTTCAAGTTGCTGCCTGTAAGTGACAGAGCTGTTGAACATTTCAGAGTAAGGATAAGTGACATCAGAAATAAAACATTAGCCAAACACAACATACAAAAATAATGATTTTTGGACCTTTAATGTCTTACTTATTCCAATAACACAGACATGAGTCTGGTTTAATAAAAACATTTTTGAGATTTAATTCAGATAACCATATCAGTCAGGAGTTTGCTTTTAACTTTGCAAACAAACATAATTAATTGCAGAAACTAACAAGTATTCGGCAACCCTTGGACTCGTGGGTTTAATCCACCATCACTGATTGGCTACTGAATTAAATTTGAATCAAAGTAATACAGGGTGGTCCAAAATTATCTTTCCTATTTTAAAATTTAATAATTAAATAACTAAGGAAATACAACCATGCAGTTTTGAATATTATTTAGTGTCATGTTTTTTTTTTCTCTTTCCAGTGAGTAGTGTTACCCTGCAAAAAGGCAACCGTGCAAGAAGAGGTCCAAGGTGTTGTTTGGCTTGCAAAAGACCAAGTCAGTTATTGTGGTGCAGCATAATTACAAAGGCCAATACGGATATCGTGTATTGCACACCTATAACAAACATCACGAAGCTAAAAACCAGAACAACAGACACCATCGCCACTGTAACTGTGGGCATGTTATAGTGAACATGGACTGAAATCAAATATTGGTTAGACATGCTACTAGCCACTAATGGTGCATACACAGAAGTCCATGGACATGTCAGTAAAAAAAAAACGTTTGAGTTGGACTACAAGATGTTGAAAACTGCATGATTGTTTCATTAGTTAGTTAATTATTAAACTGTAAAATAGAAAAGATAATTTTGGACCACCTTATATCCTGAAGTTTGGAATTTACTTGTAAATACTTTGAGCTTAAAATAAAACTTGTAATAGAAAACAATTCTACTTTGCAAGCTGCTAAGTTTCCTTTTTTTTTTTGAAAGAGCATCTATAATATTTGTAGAAGTTTTTAAAGTTGGAATTTGTTAAAGACCACCAGATGAAATTAATAAGAAATTACTACAGTAAGATTAAGATTTCAGCTGTTACTGAGTTAACAATCATGGAGATTTAATTTTAGTTATATATATATATATATATATATCTTGTGAAATGTTAAAGTCAAGCCATGAGAAAAACAAGTTTTCAGAAACCTACTAGGAACAATGCTATTTTACATTTATTTTTTACTTCTAATATAGAAATGATTGAGAGAGTGGAGACTTGGAACATCTGGTTGCAAGTGATCATTGCTGAATTAGATTTGATATTTTACTAAATATGAAGGTTAGGGAAAATTTGAAAAAAGAGGAGTTTCAAAAGTATGTAACAAGAATTATCAGTTGTGAACGAGGCAACTGAACTGAAAATACTGATCGATTGTGGAGAAATTTAAAAAATAAATTTTTAAATTTTCAAGATAAACGTGTTTGTTATAGAAAAAAAATGGTGGGTAAATGTAAAAAACCAGATTGCTTCACAAAGGGTATAAGAAATAAAATTAATGCACAAAATTCTGAATTTAAGAAGTTTAAGGTAACTGCTATGACAGGAAACTTAGAGGATTATGGAAGACCAAGAGAGTTGACCAAAAAGGAAATTAGGAAATAAAAAATGGCATGTGAAAAAAGGTTGAATGAAAATGTGAAAATTAACAGTAAGGACTCCTTTAAATACATTAAAGGTCAGTAAAATATTAGGATAGGAATAGAACCTTTAAGAGAAACGACAAAGGAAGGCTAATATCTGATGATTATGAGATGGCTGGATTATAAAATTCTACTTTTTCTCCAATTTTTGCTCATGAAGATTTAAGTAATATTCCTCATCCTGAGCAAATGCTAGACGAAAACAAGTTAAAGCAAGATGATCACATTAATTCTGAGCTTGTTATGATAAAATTTGGAAGTTTAAATAATGATAAGGATTTTAGACCAGGTAATATTTTCCTAAAGATTTTAAAGGAGGTTAAAGATAGGATATGTGGGCCAATAACTGCAAGTCCATGAATAGTGAGCAGATGGCAGAGGGATACAAGTTGGCTAATGTTATTCTTCTTTTCAATGGTGGTGATAAAAATTTGCTGGGTAACTATAGGCCTATTAGTCTTACATCAGTGGTTGGAAATGATTTGTAACTCTGATAAAAGATGCTTTGCAAAGTCATGTAAGAAAGTTTAAAATGTTGTCGTATGGTTAACATAGTTCTCTACTAATCTTCTGACATTTTCTGAAGAGGTTATTGCTTATGTTCAAAAGATTTATGGTGTGGATTTTCAGAAAGCATCAGACTAGGTGCCACATAAGAGACTTAAAAATGACATCTACAGGTATTTAAGTTTGCTCACTGAATAAAGAAGTGGCTTGACATAAGAAAGCAGAGGGTTGTTATAAATGGAGATCAGTTAAACTGGATAAATGTTACAAGTTGGGTACCTTATGACTCAGTGCTAGGGTCTTTGTTCTTTTCAATTTATATCAGTGACATAGAGGATAATTAATTACACAAATTTGCTAATGATTTTAAGGACTTGATTGTTGGCAGCTGTGAGTAACATGCTACTGCTTTACAAAAAAATTTAGATACCTGGGGTGGAAATTTTCTCATACAAGGACAGTTTAAGATTTCCGAAATTTTCTCTTGAAAAATGAAAGTAGGAGTTAAGTGTGATCTTACTAAGGTGTTTAATATTGTCTAGGAACTGATAGTGTCATTGTATCATCTCTTTTCATATTTAATGGTGAGAATAGAAAGACTAGGGGACACAAATATAAATTTTGGCAGAGTATGTGTCATCTTCAGCCAAAACAGTTTTATTTTTCTAACAGTATAGTTGACCTTTAGAATGCATTACATTCACATGTGGTGCTGCAGTAAACTTACATGAAGGCTTGATAAATGTTTGAATGATAAGGGCTTGACTTGAGTGTTTTTTTGTTGTTTTGTTTAGTGGATAGAATGGCATAGGTAGACCAACAGGACTTTTGTTGTCTTTATATTTTATCCATGTTAACCATCCACCAAATACAATATACTACAGAAAGTTCAGCAATTAAAGCACAAGTGATCAATCAAACTAAGAAGTTACTTTTTAATGTCAATCAACTTGCTTCACAGTTTACAGAAACCGAGGGAAATGACCACTTCATGTGGAACAAGTTGTAGTACTATTCACATTATAATAGAAAGGAATGTGAAAATACCAGCTATGTACACACACACAACATACCTCCAAGTTCAGCTTATGCTAGCAATGAACTTGGTATACAGTTTGATGTATTTCAAATCTAGTTACTCTCATTCAAATTAAATTGTAGATGAGTTGTTTTCATACCAGGTGGAGGAGGCTGTCCAGGATATGTAGGTGGAGAGAGGCCAGCTACTGGTGGAGCGGGTGGTAATGATGGACGGGCAGGAGCTGGATAGTTGGCAGACACTTGGTAATTTAATGGTGGTCCACTGGTAATTGAAACATATGGTGGGTGTGTTCGTCCATATCCTGAAGGAGCAGAACTGTAAAAAGAAAGACTTTAATCATTTCTTTTCATAGTCATTTACTAATAACCAACTGACAGATATCTTTTAAAATATTCATATTATAGTATTAATAAATTATAAATTAAAAGAGAGAGAGAGTTTAGACACACACCTTACAACATGTTGTGGAAGTGGCCCTCTATGTATTAATGGAGGTCGACGATCTAGGGAAGGACCTAAATAAATGTATCAAAAAATGAGAAAATTAGTATAGAGGTAATAAAAAAAAAAGGATATATCTAAGCCACATTAGCTAAGACAAATTAATTTATACTGCAAAATTACTGTGATTTACATTCTTTTATGATTAATAAATCAGAATCACTATACTACAGAGCAGTAATATGACTTAACACAGCAACATAATACTCATAACTATTTAAGCAATTATCATAAACAAGTCAATCTGTTATAAAACGTATGGATCCCTATTACCTTACTCAAGTTATTCACAAAATACATAAGGTTACATAATAAAAAACAACTTTTACATGCACAGTAAAAAAGGTATGAAAAAAAAATCAAGGATCACTAACCATGACTGGGTGGAATTGGTCTTGCCTGTGGAGGAGGAGAAGTTCTAAATCCATCTCTAGTAATACCCTACAGAAAATGCAAAAATTGCATGAAAACGTTATTTTGCTTTATTGTTCACTCCAAAAAATAAAATCAGTGAGCAACATCATAACTTTTAAAGTTCAAAAACAATGTCATAGTACTACCTACAATATGAAACAGTTAACTTAGAATATTTTTCCTAACAATTGAAGTAATTATGTGGCATAGTTACGAATTACGATTATCAAACTAATTCACTATAATTCTGTAATTTTAAGATAGACTATACGAAGTATATTGCGAGGTTTAACCAACTTTAGATTATGCAAGTAAAAATATCCAATTTGATAAAAAACTAAATACATACTGGGTTTCAGGCTGTTAAGCAAAAAAAAAAACACAAGACAAAAAACATCATACGTGTAAAGAAGGTTTAAACTTTGAAGTACTAAAAACTAATGTTATGTTATACTTCTGGTGGAGATTTCAAAGTAATAAAATTGGTTTTAAAAATCATGTAATAGGAATCAAACACCAAAACTCACACTCAGCATATAGCGTGGGCCACGTGTAGTGATAGTAACTATAGTGTTTCCGGCCCCTTTATCTTCATCATGGTTAATAGCTTGTAGCACCTCTTGACCTGGGGGTTCAGGTTCTAAAGGGGGTTCATCAGCTAGAGGTGTCCCTGGTCGATCGTCTTCAAGTTGTCTGAAATAAAGAAAAATTTAGTAATTCTGTTACAACTCCAAAAAAAATCTTTCTGAATATTAATACAATTACACATAAAAATCATGTAATATTTAACAGTCGAAAAAAACTCCAGTGGAATAATAATTCATGCTTGTGTGGTTATACTAAAACACTTAATAGAAATACAGATTCATGTCTCCCTACTTTAAGGTGAAAAAAAGTGTATACTACACAAATACTGGACCTGAAAAAATTATTCAGCTTGTTAAAGGAAATATCTTATTAGTCTTTTGGAAGGTTACAAAGATAGAAACCAATTTTAAACTGTTTCTTTTGACACATATAAACACCACAATTAATATCAAAATAGTCTATTAAAAAATAAATCATACAGCCACAACCAGTAAAATTAATCTGCATATTATTGCTATTTCATTTGAGTTAAAGTGAAGGAATGCTTATAGTAACTAATTTTCAAAAGTTAATATATGTTCCTACTGCAAAAACATGTGTGTTCTAGTTGTATAGTTGTTTACATCATTGAAATAAAGTCTTTTGTTGTGTATGGCTGTGATTTAAGCAGTATTTGCTAAACAAATAATTGATGGTCCTAATAACTGATTACACTCAATTAATCAGTTAGTAAAGTGTTCCTCAAACCTTGGTATGTACAAGAAAAAAAAATTGTAGCAGTGCTGCCGGACAATTGCTTTCAGCAGTTCAAAGTTAGTAACAGTGACAGATAGTCTTATTAGCTTTGCCATAAATTGAAGCAGAACTAGTTTGAGGTGTGAAAAATTGTGTTGGTGTTGCATAAATGTTGGTAGACTGGCTCATTGATAATAATGTTAATAATATGTCTTCTATGTTCACAAATTTCTCACTAACATTGCAACCTGTCTCACCAATATATAAAAGACTGCATAGACCAAATACTACATATTAGATAAAAGACTCTGACATGCACATCAGACTTTTTAATCTGAAAATGTTTACTTTCTGCTACTGTTTATTGTAAAAGTCATAATTTTTAAGAGTTACATTTTTCACTGTGAAAATTAAGCAGATAAATGTTTCGAACTTTTGACAGTGAAGAAATAATATCAGTGAAAAATTTTAAGGGAAGCAGTCTGTAATCTTTCATAGTTTGACAGTACAGCAATGTCATTTTTTTACAAATTTCTATGGTCAGAGAGATTGCAGCTTTTTGAGAAAATCGGACAAGTATTAAGAGCTCACAATTTTTAATTTGTATCTTTTTTTTCTGAAATTTTAGACTAGATTTTGATCATATTCATTACTTTTTTTAAGTTTAATTTTCCTCTCTCTCTCTCTCTACTAA